CTTTCAACTGTTGAATCAGCCAGCAGCAAAACTGGAATTCACGTTTGTTTGGATGCTTTTTGAGAAACATGGTCCTCCTCAAACGCTGTGCTTTGCGTTGGAAGCAAAGTGCAGTCGGATGCTGCTGTGTCAGCATCGTCAATGATTCCGGACATGCTGCAGCAGTCACTTGCAGGGCCCGGGTCGCAGTAGTTCTCCACAACATCCATGGAGATATCCATTGTTCTACACCACTGAGTCAGTTCGATTGATTTTTGCTGACCGCTACTTACTCAAGGCTCAGTTTACGATTGCACTATGCATCTGCTGCGAGCGTTGCCGGCCAAGTCAATCATTCTGCTTGAGCAATCCAGTCGAACCAAGCAATCAATGATTGAACAGTTCAATTCAATTCCCCTGTGAAACTATATTGAAAACTTGACCGACGAACTTGAAACGATTTAATGTCCCAAACAAGAATATTTGACTGAACGCCCAATCTTGAATCAGGTTGTTGGGCATCAAAACCAGTAAACTCTCAGTTGTCCAATTATTTGAATTGGCAACAATCAGATTTCAATGGTCCAATGGTCGAACTCACTTCAAGTTATCATTGTCAACTGAATCAAAAGGGGGGTCTTGAAAACACAATCTGCTTTGACTACTCTGGATGTCACCCAAGTGCAAGCCCAGCTGCGAACGGCGGGCCAAAGGCACCGATGTTGGCCATCGGGCCTTGCAAGGTCAAGTCTTTCTTTGACTGCTGTTGAAGGTGTGAGTGTGACTGATAGTCTTTCCCAGTTGAACTGGACCCGAGTCAAAACTTGAACACTCTTACTTATAATACCCCAATTGAGCCAACACCTTATGACTCTCTTGTCTTAGCTGACACACTCCCTGCCCCTTTCTCACTGATTAGGACCAGGAGCAGTGGTACTTGTAGGCTTCAATCCCGACTTTCTGGACGGCGCTGCCATCAAAGCAGACCTGAGCACTCAGTCAAGATTATCATCAGGCTCGATTCAATTTTGGGTAAGCCAGCTCAGTTGTGGGAAATGTCAATTCAATACTTCCATGTAGCAACTTACTATGTCGAATGGTTTCGATTCAAACTGATCACAGCTGGGCTTTTGGCGCGCAGCTGGTTGCAGTTTTCGAAGACCGCGCGCGTCTTTGCCAGGTACACCACCTTGAGCTGAGACTGTCATTTCTGGACCAGCAGGCTTCGGTTCATAAACTATGAAAGTAGCAATGTTACTGATGACTGGTTAGTCAGGCTTCAATTACTTGAATTGACTTGTCGAATGTGACAACTGGCTGTAATTGGCACAGGGATGCAAGCGCCAATATTTGCTCCCTGGACCCTGACTTGTTTTAGGACAAGCCGCCATGTCCCAGCAAGCCAGAGCGCAGTGCGCTACATCAACCTTGGCATCCTGGATAGACCTTGACAGCGTGTAGAACCTCAGGATAGCAGTGGGTTGTAAAGTGATAATTCTCATAAGGCTGAGATGAGGGAGGGTCTCTCAGTGAACTTCACGACTATAGTGTTAGTATTCACTGATAGCCACTACATACCTACCGGACCGAGCCAATTGAACTGAACCAAGCGAGTGTGTGTTGATATGCGTCCCTTTGTCACTGACAACTGAAGTTTCTGAAGTATTACAAACAGATTCACATGGCCAAGCCACTTTGCTGACCTGACATCTTCAACGATCTGGAATCGTTGGCTTATGGTGAGCTTGGCCTTGCGCCGCTTCAGCCTCACGTCGACTGACTTGGTCAAGGAGTAGACGTGCTCGTCCTTGGCCGTTTCAGTCTCAGGGTTGCTGACTGACTGCTGCAGCGTGGGATCATGCTAAGCTAGGCTATTGAGTTGAGTTGACACACAAAAAATGACTGACCAAAGCTCATTGAATCTGTGAGTCATTGAAAGTAAGGGAGTCCAGTGTTCGAAGAACTGCTTTGTCTGCATGCACCAAGGCACAATGAACTTTGCCAATTGCGACAACAGGCTGTAGCAGTGGTTGCTGATTCTCTGGATGAACCCATTCTTCCAATCATGCCTCCTTAGCATCTACGCAGCAGCAAGCTTGAATTTGACTTGCATTCGCAGAACGATTCATTGTGGCTGAAAAAGCGCGTGCAATGCAGAGCTGTGTCAAATTGGTTTGTTTTAATAGTTCCAGTATGGCAGTAGTCAAATCAGATGCCAAAGTTATCAGCTACAGTGTTACAGCCCAGCAACGGGTCCAAACCAAAGCAAATCACGGACGTCAAGGATGAGCTTGACATAGGCGCATTCACCCATCGCTTGGAATCGTCCTGGCAGTGTCTAATCATCTACTACTGTGTTATCTTGCCCCCTAATGACAAATGACTCGACTGGCTGAATTTAAAGTAAGTGAACAACACAGCACCGGTCCAGCAACTCCATCGCCCAGAGCTGTGAGCAATAGTCTTCACCGCCATGTGGAACCAACCACTGAAGTGGAAAAGGCTGACCAGGCAGCAGTAGTAGTTCCAGCTGAGGCATTCCTTAGAGTTAGCTGGCGCACATGTTTGAGTCAAGTGGGACCTTTCAATCATTCACAAGTTGAATTGTGGATGAAATGTTGCCCCAGTGTCCATGCTGAAATCTCGGCTGCACAGTGATGGCAAATTTGCCAGTACGACAGCAAAGGTTGACCAAGCTGTCTAAGAACTTGAACGCATTTGTCCTCAAAGGTGAGGGCGTGTGTCCACTGCGCAAGCTCCAAGCAACCATGGATACCAACATAGTGGTCGGGATCACCTTGTCATTGAACTCTGCCTCAGTCAGCCAATCAGCAAGTAACACCAGTCCAGCCAGGGTTGCGCTCAAATTGCAAAGCAGTTGATTCATAGCTTTTTGGGTAGTCAGCAAATGACTCGTTCCCCAATTCAGTGAGTAGTCAGCCGTACTGATTTCAAGTTGTCAATTAATGACTGAACAAGTTTCCTCACGTCAGCTGAAAATGCCAACAATGAAACAATGACAATCAGTTTCTTTGCCAGGGAAGACCAGTAACTAGTCAAGCACAGTCAGTGCAGAGACACTGAGACAATTTAGACAATGACAATGCAAGTCTACGGTAGCCAGCAAATAGCAAACCAGCAAAACAACAAACCATTCCATGCAGGTTGCAACATGTCTTCAGCCAAGGTTTCTTCAGATTCCACTCAATCAATTTCAAAACGTGAAACTTGCAGGCTTGTTTAGTCGTGGCACCAAACAATCGGGTGAATCCGTGCGAGGCTGAATCAATTGCACAGCATGCCCAGGCCAAATCAAATTGTGAGTGTTGGTGATTTGGCTCATCGCTCGGTTGAACTTGTTCCGCATATTCTTTCGATCCTCTGCAGAAACAATTGTATGTGACTTCAAGCACGCCCAGGCATTTGAAGCCACCCACTGCGTAGCATCCCCCCTGCGTAATGCTGGGAAGCAAATCAGCTCACCGGACTCGCCAAGATTGAGCACCTGCTTGGGCGCATGTTGTGCCATGAGTCGAGCCTGATCCGAGGTGAAACTGAGCCGAAAGGGGCAATCATGTCATACATAGGCGGCGTGCGCTGGCCACACCAACTTCACGCGAGCTTCCCAAGAGTGAATTGGAGTCAGCTGGAGTGGTTTGAACGCATGCTCAAAACAATGCGTAATTTGTGCTTAAAAACGGATGTAAATCTTGCTAGTTTGAAGCTGAGTGGATTTGAGTGTATCCTGAGTGGATCTGAGTGGATTTGAGTAGATCCTGAGTGGAGTTGAGTTGATTCTGAGGTGGATTCGAGTGGAGCGGTTGAACCTGCAAATTCTTCATGATAACATGGGTCCCCCAAAGCCGGGTCCCTCAAGGAGTCCCTGATTCTTTAGAGCGGTTGCGGTTGCCTGTGGTTCGGGCCGCCACGGTGCATCCTGCAGAGTCAGCCGGACTGCGCGGCCAGAAATCTTGCGGCTTAAAGCGAATTCTGGCTGAGGTCCTATGCGCAAAAGCGAGAAGTCCTCTACTACGCTGGTCGGCGCAGATGTTGTGCTCTCCGGAGATGTGAGATGCGATCACCGACCACTTGTGCTTGTGCCCACGCGGCTACTACCCTGAGCCTGTACCTCTGAGCAACGCCTGACAAAAAAGGAGTGCGGCCGTCAGCTTTGTCTCCTTCCCCTTTTTTGGGTTTTGCAGGTTCCTTCATTTGGCTTGAAGCAGCTCGGCAAACTGCAAGCGTGGTGTAGTTATGCTTGGTATCTTGCTCTCCTTGATTTTGGTACGTCTCTTGCTTGGTTGAGGCATCCCAGCGGTGTACGACTTTTGGAGGTGATTTGCTGAGGTTGGTGGTTCTTTGTTGGGGTTTACATTCGTTTCTCTGTGCTGAAACAGAGGACCTGCGTGATCGCGATTGGCCGCACGGATCAAACACAGTCAGTCTTTGCCTCATTTTTGGATGGCCGCTCGGAGAAAAATGCCAGTGGTACTCCCGGGGTTTTAGGTCCGGCTTGCTTCGCCTCGCCTTTTTGCTGCTACGTGCGGGCACAGTGGTCGTTTGTAGTGAACGTACTTCCTCGAGGGTACCAGTTGCCTTTGAGGATGACGATTGTTCTTCTGATCGGTCGAGTCCGTCGATGGCGTTTTTATGACGACAGTGGTTTTGTGTTTGGCCGTGTTTGCTTGGAAGCTCGTTGCTGCAATTCTCTTTCAAGCTCTCTATTCGGATATTGAGCCTTATGGAGCTCCCAGTTGATTCGATGAGATGAGTTTTTCACTGCGCTGGGCGGCTGGCAGCGATTGGCTCATCGCTCTCTTTTTGCGTGTTCAACTTCCTGCCTTTCTTAAGCGGGTCGTTGTGAATTCAATGCTTTGTGTGTTTCTCCCACCGTTTTGTGCACAGCTTCTCTTTGTTGAGCTTTCTTCCTGACTTTTGCTGACTGGCGGCTATGCTTCAGGAAGCTTGGAGAAAAAACGTAGCCACGACACCATGTGGGTTTGTAGAGCAGATCCCTCCGCAATGCCTTCATCTTGACTTGGCATGTGCGCTGCGTAATAAACTATTGGTCATGTGCAGAGCAGCTGCTGACGCATGCGCTGAAGGAGACAAAGTAGGCGTTGGAGGATGGTTCATCCGCAAGCACTCCGTCACTTGGTTCGCAGAGGGAGGACTACTTTTTAGTTTTTGGCACAGTGGCCGTTCCTTACCAAGGAAGCTCAGCGGTACATTGCATGTTTTGAGACTTTGGCGCATCTGGCGCTCATGCGCATTGCGTGGCTAGCAGAAGGCCAAACCAGCCATAGCGTGTGCATACCCACAGGTACCGACAACACGGTGGCAGAAGCGGGTGTCAAGAAATTGTTCACTACTCCGTGGCCGTTGCAAGTCTTCATGCAACTTGTAGCATGGGCGCATAAGCACAAATGGCATGTGGTGGCCGCCTTTGCGAGTAAAGACAAAGAACGCGTTTCCTTTAAACCGCAAGACTTTGAGCCGCGTGCATCGGTCACATCGCGCCCCACACACCATGGCATTGACAGCATCGCCAGGCGTGGCAACTGCTTTATCCGGTTGCTCAGAGCTCTAAGAAAGGGGTAAATTCTTCAGGCTCCGCAAGGGATGCAGCATGGCATGAGCTGAACACGCATGTTGGCTCACCTGCATCCTCGAGCCTGCACCTCTGAGCAACGCTTTGAGAAAAAGAGGGAGTGTGTGTGTGTGTGCTATGCAATGTCTCCCATTTTTCTTAATGTTTGTTGTAGGTTTGAAGCAGTGAACACGTTCATTCCAGTAACTCGATGTGATCTGCGTGCGGATTGAGAGTTTTGTTGACGTGCGCTTGCATTACGTTCGGGGGACGTTGAGGGGGCTGCCAGTGGTCATTGGCTTTGTAATGGGGAAGGGGCTGACCGACTGTTGAAAGTATTTGGGGATGAAACCCGAAGTGGAAAGAACCGCAACCAGGGTTTCAATGGCGCGTCGCATGACAAGTGAAATTATGCGAATGGACAAAACAAACACGACAATTTGTGTTCGTGCTCTTCCAGCGTGCAGTGTTCCAGTTTACATGCAGGTACATGCGCGTGCTGTTTCTCGGCTCATCTGAGCTTCCCCAAGAGCACAGCACGTCTTGTTTCTTTCCGCTTGGCGAGAACTTTGCACGTGTTTTTTCTGGCAGTGCGTGCTTTCTTTGTCGTTTGCTTGCCCATGTTGCTTGCTCATTGCGGCGCACACGTAGACTGCAGAGTCGCCTTGAGGTACAATTTTCATAGTTTCAGGTGTTTCATGATTTAACAACAAAATCCCTTCCCTCTAAACTTACATTTTTTTTTTTTACATAAACAAACGGGACAAACTGCACTTTCCTTCCCTGGGTCAAAAAAACTCGCAGAATGCAATTGGGATTCAAATGGCTTCTGAAAGGGATGAATTGGGAAATTGGCGGGAAAGTATTGGTTTAGAGTTAACCTCATTCTAAATGTAGTGTACCGGACTGTTTTTTTGCTTGGGGTCTGTTTTTTTGATCGGGGAGACCTCTATTTTTAGGAAGAAGGTTTTTGTTGGACATGCTCTAGGTTGCTAGAGTGTCATACTGTTACACATTGACGGATGGCCAACATCTGCAGCGCATTTGGTTGACCAAATTGCGGCTCAAACACATGTGAGACACAATCAAAACATGGGCAGATGAAGGTTAGTAAGGGATAGATTCTTCACATGATTCTGGGTAGACATTTTGAATACCAGTATTGGATTATGGCTCATGTATTTGATGAAGACTGAAATGGTCATTGCACGCAAGGCATGAGGGGATTGAGCATTGCCGGCACTTTCCAGTGTGTGCTCCAAGGCACGTTCAAACATTTGTAGGCATTCTTGTCCAACTTGAGCATGTGTGATCACATGGGGTCATGCGCAGCTGCTAGGCTTAGAACATGTTTCTGGTTTTGCTTGCCAGACGACTGGCAAACAAAAATGGTGCGCTCAATTGTGAACGTTGCCTGACGTCGGCGTTTGTGTCTAGAGTATATCGCTGGTGCTTTGATTTCGGAATTCAACCAAACTTAAGAGTGTCAATGGTCATGCACAAGAACCGATCTGGTTTGGACCATACGGGTACCATTTCAGACAGGTAGCTCTGTAGGCATTTCCATTATCAAATACATCGGCAATGACTTGCTTCTTTTGCCAGATCGTGGTGGCATGAAGTGCAGAGCTTTTCAGGGATAAACATTCCTGAAAAGTATAGGAATGAGTGGAATACTGAGACAAAGGGCCGCTTAAAGTATGGCTCGGTCTTTTCTTTTGCGATGATAAATGGATAGAAGGTTTCAACTTTCCCTTTGGCAAAGGCACCCACGCGGGTATCCAGTTTTCTGTGGATGAGCAGCCAAGGCTCCTCAGTGCGCGCCGTATTGTCTCCACCACGACTCCGACACTTCGCCTAGAGAAAGTGACATGCTGCAGCCTGGCTGCCAATTATTCTTTTGAGTGCAGTTGGGGTTGGTTTTCAGAGTTGGATTTCTTTCCCAGGCATAGTCAACAACTGCATAGCAGCACATCAGCATCAAGCTAGTATTTGCCACCTTTTGCGGCTTTTTTGCTTCTTTGTAGTTAATGAAGCATGATTCTTGCTTCAAGCCCATGCTCCTTTGAACATGTTCGCCCAGAACTCTACGTTTGCCCGCGCCCCCGCCCCCCGACGCAAAACGCAGGCTGCCAGCTCGGCTTTGTTCTTCAGAGAAGACACACAACCCCCCCCACCCAGAAACTCGAACCCCCCCCCAACCCTAAACTGTGTTGCTGGTCAACAAAGAGAAGACACATTGCCCCCCCACCCAGAATGCCGAAACCCCCCAACCCTAAACTGTGTTGCTGGTCAACAAAGAGAAGACACATAACCCCCCCACCAAGAAACTCGAAAGCCCACAACCCTAAACTGTGTTGCTGGTCAACAAAGAGAAGACACATTACCCCCCCACTCAGAAACTGCAACTGCTGATCTGTGGGCGAACGTGACGTTCTGTGGGAACATGTTTTTCTGTGTTCCTTCTGAGTGCAAATACTGAGGCTGCAACCCATACGATATGAACACTTTGCGTATTCGTTGCAACAAAAGCAAGGCTGTTGTTTTTGAGTCCATGTTCCCCTTGAATTTCCTTCAGGACACTTGTTTCCACTGTGCTTTACATAAATGGTTTGTGCTGGCAGCTGGCTAGCATTTGTTTGTTTTTTAAGGTGTTTTGGCAGGCAAGCGCGCACTCGCACACACGGATGTGTAACTAGCTGGTAATAGATCATTCTGTATTTCGGGATGTGTTTCTCGAGCATCCCGACACCGGCTTTGGCCGGTCTTCTGCACGGGTTAAGGCCTGCCCGGGTGTTCGATGAACTCCTGGCGGTGCCTGAGGCAGAGAGAGGGATGAGAGGAATGAGCAGTTGGCCTTGTCCAGGCATTCCTGCAGTTTGAGTACGGTGCTTGTTTGTGGATGTCAGCCAGGCAGACGAGGCTGCAAAGTGGGCGACCCAGCGGCAACAGTATTGCCTCGCTTAAAGCGGACGCAAAAGGTCGCCAATGTGATACTCGAAAGCGGACGGTGCGCTCGGCTGTTGGCATGTAGCCGTTACTCGAAACCGAGGCTCAGGCTCATATCTGCGCGGCACGTGGAGGCCGTCTGAAATGGATTTTCAGGCCTCTAGGTCAATGAGCACCTCTCTTGACCTTTAAGGGGCTGCTATGGGCTGCTTTTAATTTATCTCAGCGTCTGAGAGACCTGCCTCGGCATGCTGAGCAATTGCTGACAGGCAATCTGGCCGCCGTTTTAGGTCATCAGGGTGGATTCTGCAGATTTTGAAGCCTTGGAATGAGTTGTTTTCACAGAGAGAACCTAGCAACAGTATTCGGCACATGCAAGGCATCACTAAGTGACACGCTGAATGTTGGCCAATCCAGGTCAGTACAAGGATGCCACTGGTAGAAGCAGGGCTTCACGTTTTTTGTACCGACGTTCCTTTGCCAAGGTGACAAGTGGCTCAGCTGGGTTTATCTTAAGCTTGTTTTCATGCGGCCAAAATAGACTCGATTTGGATTGCCTTGATCTGCACAAATAGAAGGTAGGATGGGCTTGTACACTCGCATGCCAGGCGCACACGCCAAGGCACGTTTTCTTTTTCTTTGGGGGGAGCAACGTGAAAGCAAGATTGGTCATGTTCGCGTTTCTTTGAGCATGGCTTGTCACACTTTGTTTTTTGGTGCTTGTGCTGGTCCAACATCGCTCCCCAGCCATGTGCTTGCTCCGGCCTTGCATCTGAGATTCAGTAAGTTAACAGCTAGAATGCAATTAACTTGTGTCATGCCTCGTTTTGTTTCAACCACCTCCCTGCAAGTGACTCCATGGGGTAGCGTTTGTGACGACTTGATTTTCCTCTACTGTATGCCTCCCATTTGCAATCAGGGGGCATTTGGCATAGAGGAACCTACAAACAAGGGAGTGGGCAAGCATTGTGCTAGAAGCTTTAGGAGCTCGGGGATCTCCATTCCATGGCATGTTGCGTTTGCTTTGCTCTCCTTCCGATCATGAAAGCAACAAGTGCAACCCACGACTGCATCTGCAGCATGTTTTGTGTTTGAGTGCTGTGCAACCAACAGTGTGCTGATCAGCACGGATTCTTCGGATCGCTTGGCTCCAGAGATCTCAGGGGTCCTGCAGCCCCAACCTTTCTCCTATGGAGGGCGAGCTTCGACAACGGCGCCAGGCTAGCCATGTGGGGGTTGTGCTCAGCTTGTCCTGCAGAGTGGTCGGCAGATCTCATGGTTGACCGTGTAAGGAGGGATCCGCACCACAAGTCACACCACATGTTTGATAGATATGTGCCAGGAAGGGTAGACATGCAATTCATTGCTTGAACTTGAGCATTCCGGTTATCAGACCATTGGCATTTCAGCCATAGCTTCGGTGAATCAGGGAGAAGCTGCAGCAGATGCTGCGGGTGAGCCGGAGGCGACGGGCACTTGCAGGGTTATTTGTTTTGGTCTGCAAGTAGTTAAAAAAAAGAGTCAACTGGATGCGTCAGGGTTGAAGCAGATGTCAAGGTTTAGACATGCTTGTCCTGCTTTGAGAGAGTGGGCATTGAATGCTCAGGAAGTGGATGAGGCCTTGCTGGCCATGATAGAAGATGAGAAGGACCTGCTACACTTATCAAGGGAGTGCCGAGGTTTGAAGAAGTGGACGATAAAATCCAAGCACCATGAGCACTTTTGGTGAGGAGAGGCGTTGGATGCAGATTCAGCTTGCTCCTGGGCAGCATAAATTCTGTTTAGAGGGATGGATGCTGATGGCCCGTCTGAGCCGCATCGAGGGAGAAATAGGAACTGACCTCTTTCTGCTGTTGTGTTCTTGTGACAAAAAATGTTCGTGCGACCAGCGCTACTCTTTATGTGGAGACACCAGGAGTTGATCCACAAAAACACACTTTGCCCCAGGACTTTTCAGGGTTGCTGCAATTGGGGGATCTTTGGTGAAAATCAACACATTCGCAAGGCTTTTGGTAGTTCTTCCCTTTCAGCCTACTGATACGGAATCTAGGAGTGAACATGCAGGCAACTGGTAGAATGGTGGGTTGGGATCGTTCTAGAGAGACAGAGTCTTTCATTTGCTTAATGGCTGATGGAGAGATCTAAGGGCTTCCTGATCTTGGGAGTGTCGACCTCAGCCAAATGAGAGCAAGCTGGTTGTGTGATAGGTGTGCATCCATGAATTCATTTTTTTGCCTTTGACAGTTGTGAGGTCGGACTTCTTTATGCAACTGCCCGACTGTGGCTCTCTGGGGCACTGAGATGGTAATCCGAGCAGACGGACCGATGTAGCCGCGGCATGGGCGGCATCCCCGTCAAGAAGGTCTATCCGGAAGGCTGACAGGTCCCGGCAGAGTAGAGCTGAGGCTTCCCAAGAAGGGATTGCCTGGTCACCATGGCCCCTTTGAGCGCCTGAGACGAACGCGTGATCCAAAGTGAGGCCTGCGAACCGAACAAAGCTGGCTGCGGACTTATGTCACGTTGCTGGGGGCACACTTTAGAATCAGGGGTGGCTTGATCCTTTGCGTTTCTCAATCATTTGCACTTCTGAGTCACATCGGGGGCTACCGGTTCGCGAGATCCGCGCTGTCGGATTCGGCTTACAGGCGCACCAAGGAGGCACAGTGGGTTGCCCGCCCTCAGGACCGGGAGCCTTCGGCAGCCTATGCGAATTGCGAAGTCGAAGAGAGCAGCGGTTCTGTTCGTTGGAGCAACAAGGCAACGATTGCATTGGCAAGCTTTCTTGCAGTGATATATGCATGGGCACGGTACCAGCAACGATGCTGACGGATTATCGATGAGGAGTCAACTTGCCGAGATGTTGTGTCAAGCAGAGGGGGTTCATTGGAAAGCACTCTTAGTCCATGCGCGGGTAGGCCTGAAGCCATTTTGATGACCCCGGAATCGTGAGGGAAACGAGCACAATGTGGGACTCTTTTCGCTCCTGCCTGCCTCGCGATCCAGGAGGGCTCTAAAATGGAGCAGCTCCGCATCAAAAGCAGGGCCTGCAGCTACCTCAGAAAGGGTTGATATTGACACTTCGGGCTGGGCGAATCCTCAACTTGGACATCACTTTCACGCCCTTCGCCGAACAGCCTCAGCCGGATGGGCACAGGTTTCCAAGAACACCTGCAGCTTCAGAGCAGAGCACAGCCGTGCATGTTTGCCACGTTTGATTCAGTTCTAGGATGGCGTTGATTGTGCGGTGAGCCAAAGGCACGAATCACTTTGCGACCGTAACAAACACACAAACAGGGATTGCTCATGACTTCTTCAACCTTAAGATAGTCGTTTGTGAAGCTGAAGAGAGTCCAAGTCGGCTATTTGAGAGCCGCAGGAGCTTCAGAGAGCTCGCTGAACTCCTCGTTCGCATTGGCGAACCTTGCGATTGCCTTGAATTTTGAGCGGGTTTTCTAATGGCATGGAGCACTGTCTGAAATGACCTTTATCCACTCACTCTGCCTGGCACAGTCCTTGTGTTGGTGATGCCAAAACACATGTTGGATTTGCAGAGCGAGGCCCAGTGTTGGTGTTTTTTCAATGCCCAGGGGCCTTGGTCAAGCCACTGCCTGGTCCGGTCGAAGGCCAGTTTCGAAAGTGCCTGCGCTTGGGTAATGCGAAAACTCCAAGAATTATTGGTGGACACAAGTCCCCAAGTGAATGATGTCCCGCAAGAATCTGGGTTGAGGGTATGCTGTGGCAGGAGCTTCACTCTTTCATATCATTGGCACTTGTTGCCCTGTCTGGGAAGGATATGTGAAGTGACAAGGCTGAGGATTCCCAACGGATGCAATAAGACTCTTGATCGCTGCAACCCTTCTCGGATGTTTTTGCCATTCGAGTTCAGGGTTTGCTAGTTCCCTTCCAGGCGATTGCCTGGTTTCTCGTCCAGTGACACATGCCGTAGTAAATTCCATTCCGTGATTTTGCGACTGCTGTTTGTCACGTTGTACTATCAAGTCTCGAGCTTGATTGCCCAAAGGCCGCACGACATGCAATTCCGAGCTTTTGCAACTACCACTCAACCTTCGCACAGGACCGGCTCAGCTGCTTTGCGCGGCACCAAGAGTTTGCTCTGACAGGAAGTGACTCTCGGATTGTACAGACTTGGAAAGGTCTCCATGGTTCTTGTACACAAGGCCTTGTGCAGAGGGTACCCCTTGATTGAAGGGGCTGTTGTCAGAATTGCCAGCCTGGAGAACTGAATTCCCTGAGCAACGCCCAAAAGCCCTGTTGGCCAGTTTAGCAGGTCAGTGGGGATTATGGTGAGAGTCGATAGAGGCTCCAAGAACCAGCTGAGTGAGTTTGGGCGCTGCTATGGCTCTCGCTAGAAGCAGCAGGCCAAGCCTGAGCCTGAGCCGCAAGCAGAACCCAAGTTGAAGTTCTGCATTCAAAGCGTTCAACGCCGGCGTGTTTGGCCGTTTCGCCCTGGCCAAAGATTTCAGGGCCTTGTCACCACGCTCAGAGCCTGTCGCGAAGCCGCGAAAGCTATGGCCGGGATTGAGGTGGTCAGGGAATCCACTGGCGAATATTACATAGGTAAAGCGACAAACCAAGTTCAGCCTGCAGGGCAGACAAGCATGCAGGTGGCTATCGTGTGCTTATTCAAGATTTTGGGAGCTGGGTTGGAGCAGAGCTGGGGCCTACGTGGGTTGTTTGCTGCTTGGTCCTGCTCAGATGGACTTGCTTGACATGTTCCCTTTGCAGCGGCAACATGTGTTTTTCGACACTTTTCACTTGCTGTAACTTTTGGCCCACAGGTAGGCGTTTTCATGGCATGGAATTCCTTCAAACACGGGCGTGGGCCTCCAAATTCAATGTGCGTAAATGTCACGTGGGGATAGATAGAAACGTTCGCAGAATAATAGCTGAGAGAGCAGACATCGCTCGGTTTCTTAGGAGTCCAAACAGGCGCCAAACCTTGGACCCACTCTGGACAATCCACGCTTTTCAAGGGCACACTTGGACATTTCCCAAACGTTAGCCTCTTGTTCGGAAGGGTTTGCCTTTGCTACTTTGTGCAGGGGGTCACTGGTTTCGGAAACTCTTGGTTCCACGCCATGGACGGCATGGACGTGCTGCCGCCCGCGGCACGGCCACTGTCGGCGCGCCCGCAGAGCCACCGCTTCATCTCGCAAGGCGGTGCGAGTGGAATGGATCGGCGCCTTTTTGCTGGATGTATTCGTTTTCAGGGTGCCCTTTAATTGAAGGGAGACAACAAGAAACACCCACCCTTTCAGGGTCCCCCCAAATGTTGACTTAATGTGAAGCCCACTTCGACTTAGCAAGTCACCAACCCCTGTTGTCCCACTCGTAGCCATGGCTATTGCCTACTCAGTGGGATGAGCAACAGTAGGCCACCACGCCCCTTGGGATCCCGATACCTTTTGTTGCCGCTTTCAAAGGGGTCGGGGGCCAAACAGAGGCCCAGGAGACGGATGAAACGTAATGGCAAATGCGATGAAATGCCATGGATCTTTTTTTGAAAATGGAGTGGGGTGCGTGCTGGATATCCAATGTCGATGAATTTCCCAAGCTCTGGCTTGGTGGCCTTTGGAGTCTACCAAAGCTTGCTGGGCCAACCACAGCCCGTTTAGTTGACACAAGGATCGATCAGTATCCAACATGCTTGTGATGATCAGTTTCCACCCATTTTGCTGTTTGAAAAGTCGCAAGGATCATGGCACTCTTACCCGCAATTCAATGCCGCTGACAAACATACTGTAGCTGTTCTGACAGCATTCAGGTGGGAGTCGTCGCTGCCTTGCCGGGTCGCCTTTGATGGGGACTGCTTTCGTGCCAGAAAGCGGCACTTGGCACTGTCCTGAAGAATGATGTTGAACAGTTTCTGGGTTTCATGACGCATGGGGCAATAAGACCCTGCCTTAGTGTTTGTTTCGAAGAAACCGTACTCGAATTTGAAATACCTGTTTGGTCCAGGTAAGGTGAGTTCGCCTTTGGGATGGGTGAAGCTTTATGGGTAAACTCATGAAATCCTGACAGTTTCACTTGCTACCACCACACCTTCAATCGTGCGAAAAAAGCGGCGGGTGCCTAGAAGTCTAGAAGTGAACCTTTTGAGGGGTTCTGATTGCTTTGAAAACACGTAGAGCTGATCTGGATGTCACTTTGAACCCAGCCTTTCTAGAGTTCCAAGGGCCTAAGGGGTGACCCCTGGTCCCATGGTCAAACCGCTTCTTCACCCGTTCTAATTTCAAGGCCGCTGTTGCTGGCAGTTGCGAGGCCTGGCGCAGCGGCCCAGCCGCTCGCCGGAGGACAAGACGCCCAGCAGCACAGAGATGGGCCGCCCCCGTGTTGACAACGGAGATGGCAGAGATGGGGGCGGGTTGAGCTGCGTGGTTTTCTTTGGTCCGATTGCCAGCTGACTTCCCAATAGCCAGACCCTCTCCGAGCAGCACAGCCCAATATGGCTTCATCCAATAGCCCAGCCCAACAGACCAGAGAGAGCAAGGGATTCAGAGTCCAAACCATTCAGGGTCCAATGATATTGGACAGTGCTTGAACCTCCCCCCCGCGCTCACGCAGAACTCATCAACATGACTTGAGAGGGGGTTGAAGAACTATGGATTTCCCCCCTGCTTGGATGGGCAATGGCCAGGAAGCCACCAGCAAACTAAAAGCCTTCTCAGGAAAAGGGTGCCTTGTCCGATTTTTGCGCTAAAGTGTCCTTACATGCTGTACACTCATGGTAAAACTCAGCTCCACAGCCGATCTGCAAATCAAACAAACGCACGGCCAGGTGATAGGAAAAATATGCCTTTAATCCAGAACCAACATTGCCAAATCATGCAGCCGCCCGCCCATCCGCCCATCCGCCCACTCGCCCTCTGCCCATCCGCCCGCCCGCCCATCCGTCCGTCCGTCCGTACGTACATCCACAGAAGTCGTCACTGGTTGCAGTGTGACTGAATTGGGCGGAGGAATGAGTCCAATGGTTGCTGGGTCGCTCGCTTGATGCCGTGTGCCGGTCGGTGGGGTGCAGGGAGGAATGGCGGCCAATGAGTGCCGCCTCGACGCAGATCTCAGCGCAGAGCCGCCGCTTGGCTTTCAGGGACCACGTGGGTACTTGGTTTTTGGAAAGAGATGCTGCAGGTCTGGGTCACTTTTCCTGGACTGTTTAGGAACGTTACATGAAGGGCCGATTAATTATTTCTCGAGTCTCGGTATGTCATAGAGTGTGTGATTCGACCAGGTGTGTCATGTTCCATGATGGTTGTGAATCGTTTGAACGGTCTGTCAATGGTGAGGATCTCTCAGGCATCTACGACCGAGCCCCGTCTCAGACGGTGTCTCGGAGCTGAGGTTCTGAGATGCATCGCCAGGCCGTCCGTGGTTGGCTCTGCAGATGGGTCCCGCCTGGCAAACCCAAGTTGCAACCTGAACCAGTTGTGAAAGCGTCACAAGGCTCGTTCGAGAGTCACGACCTCAAGGTACTCAGCTCAAGTTTCTCAATGAGTTCAGACTGCCACTACTGCAAGTACTTATGACTCCCAAGTTAGGTGTTGCTTTGCATGCAAAATAATCCCAGGCAGCCCGAACGATTTCTGGTCAAAAACCTGACCCTTCTGATTTTGAGGATTCCCTCTTAGTTTTGTCAAGGATGGCCGGTATTCATGTATTTGACTCAAGTGATATTTGTGACTCCTGCAGGATGCCCAAGCACGGTCAGCATCGCCTTGTTTGCAACAAAATAGCAAGGGCATTCCCTTTTGCTATCCGAAACCCACTGCAAAGGCGTTGTGCGGGAGCTTTCTTGCCTGCCCGAGGAGGATGAGTTCGTGTACCGAAGTTACGATGTTGACGCAGAAATAGGAGAGGGCATGTACTGTCAATCATGTATAATGCAGACTTCTGGTGCGTAGGTTGCATGCGTATTGGCAGTAACATGTGACAGCCCGTAAGAAATGACTAGTAAATCACGGGTTTGAGGTTTTCCCGGTCACACTGGTTTGTTGTCTTTCTCTCCTCTTGCCAACCTTTTGTTTAACGTATTTCCATTTGATGGGTTGGAACACGACCATTGGGAGACTTACCCTCCCATCCGCCAACATGGAACCCACCCAAGGGCTGGGCTCGAGGGAAGACCTCCACGCTTCGGCAATTTCGAGCCCGCTGGGCCATTGAGACTGGGCTTTAGGTCCATGGCCTTTTTGTGGAAAGCGCAACCCGCTGAACATATGCGCCGCATCTCCGCAGATTAGCCATTGGTGCGCCAGCGAGCTGGAGCGATTCCGCCAGAGCTTCCAGGAAGATGTGGCCAACAGCTCGGACCTCGGTGCAGTCCCGATGGGTTGATATGGCTTTACAGTTGTGCCTTTCTTGTTGTAGACTTGTACTTGGGGGCTTCCCTTTCAATCCGACCCAACTGGTGCCCTTCTTTTCTCGTGGCCAGTGGAGGCTCGGGATTAAGTTTACCCTTCCTCCAACAATCACGAATTATTGAAGTGCACAAAATGAACTGTTTGTTTTCAGTTTAAACCCGCCGGGTTGGGTTTCTTGAACCCATTGAATGGTCTTTATCACACCCAGTGTAGGCACTTTCTTTTCCAAAGTGCCATAGGGTTCAAGCTGAAGGGCCTCGGAGACCAGAATTCAGCCTGGCGAGCTACCCGCAGTTGAATTTGTTGCTGCTCTGCTGTGGCAGAGGCATCATTGCAGAAACAAAGGAATGGCTTCTCAGCTGTGTTGCTTTTTGCTGATTGCTATATTTATGGACCTTTGCATCCCTTGAAGGTCCTCGTAGAATATGGGCGTTGCTTTGTCAGCCTCTCGGCTGGTTGCCAAATCTCATTGCACCTTTTCTCGCGTCACGTATCTGGAGTTAGCTTTGCTTGGCAGTTTATTTGTTTCCATTTGAATGCTTGATGCTGGCATGCTCAGAGCGACATCTCATTCTGTGTGCCTCCAGTTGTGAGGAGTACAAGCCGAACTCCAAGTGAAGTCGCCGTTGCTTTTTCTCATTGTGATGTTAACTCGGACTATTCCGAGACATGTAGCTTTTGCTGCACGTGTGAGAGAGGCTCTTAATTTCAGATGGACATGTCTCCTGCACATTGGCAGATCAGTCTCTGCACGCCTTCGATTGCTGAGGGCAACCTTGAAGATTCAGTATATAAGTATGTGCTTTTTGCCCGACCTTTGCTTTGGAGGCGAAATTCAGCTAAAATGTTTGAACCGTATGCCCACAGAAACCGCAACCGACAGCCCCTCTAATCCCCCAAAACACCGTTCGCAACATAGCCCTTGCCCTTCCACCAAAGCTAAGGGTCACAGGTTCCATTTCGAAAAGCTAAGGGTCACAGTCTTCCACAAGGGGCCAGGCCCTTTCTGTCTGCTTGGGTAAGCCCCACGCGTGGCCGGGATTTTTCCCGTGAGGCCTTACCGCGCTCAAGGAGGCCTTGGCGCAGGCGCTCTGCGTCACCACCACCACCACAACGACCACCGCGGCACCGGAGCAAACCACGGAGCGGGACTCGGAGCTGAGGCGCGCGCGTGCCTCGGCATCGAAAGGGGCGGGACCCAGTTCACCCCTTCCCAAAAAATCAAAGCATGGACAAAGCAGGGGGTGTCCTTTTGTCGGTGCTGGTTTCGCCAGCAATGCAGGTGCAAGAAACTCATGATCAAGCATTTAGCTTCAGTTGCTGGCTGTTGCTGCGACTGGGGGAACGCAGGCTGAGCCAGCTGAGCCTCTGGGCAAAGTGCCCCTTTCCAGAAATGCTTTGACGCATGCGAAGGCAAGCTGTAATAGCTCCCGGCCATCCTTCGAGGTACGGCATATGTTCCTCCAAGTGCTTCAGGTGTCTTGTTGTTGCTTCACTTCCCTTTGGAAAATCAACATGGGCATCAATAAGAGATCCAGTGGCAGAGGAGACCAAACGCCTTTGACGCGCTCACTTGAGATTTGTCATGAAACCTCAAGAACATCTCCTTTCGATTTTTGGAGGTGCACTTTCGATTTTTTAGAGTGAGTTTCCTTCTGGTGGGTTGATGTCTAAAGGGAAGTATTGGAAGCCCTGATGCTCGGCTGCCTCTTTAGCTCAGGTGCCCATATCGAGGAGCTGCTGAAGCTGAACACCCAGCTGCGCCAGCAGCTGCTTGTTTGAAGTGGCACCGGGGTCCGTGTGTCTCAGAAGGACTCCCACAAGAAGAGACGACAAATCTCAGGCTTGGTGGCCGGTCGCTAAATTTGGGTAGGCGTAGGGGGCAAAATGGCTCAGGTTCTTTGTGGCTGGAGGGTCAAAACGGTCCAATGCCTCATGATGAAGGCCATGCATGAAATGCGGTCAATATGTTATCACGTTATCTTAGAATTACGGATGCCAATTGTACGGGTCCAGGTGGCAGCTAGGATCCATTTGCAAGGAATTGCTTCTTTGGCACTTCTGCATGACCACAAAGGGCCGCTCAGGCAGGCTGCCTCTTCATAACCAATGACCTTTGTGACCTTTTGGATTCTACCGGACCCTTTTACGACCTCCGCTTGGCCCGGCCGTGAAGGCAGGAAGAGTACTGCAATCAGAGACCTGGCCACTCAATGAGCAGAGCCTTTTACCAAGAATGGACTTCTCACGGTGTTGAGCTTGCCCGGAGTCAAACCGGCCAACGCTGGCGACAGGAGCCATCCAAATTGATGGTCCATGGCTCTTTTTGGCGTTCAAGCGTGAGTGCAATTGGCACGTTTGGGGGGCGTGCTCAAGATGTTGAGCCCCTCAAGAGAGAACATGCCGTCGTTTGGTTTGCGCAGTCAGCTGGAGACTTGCTGGTGACGTGTAGCCAACAGCGCAGGCAGCTCGCGCCCATACCATTTATGTAATGATCATTTGTGAACAGGATTATTGTTTTCCCCAACATTTTTTCAGTGCTAGCAACATGTTCTAAGTGAGGCACTCGGGTCACATTTCATGATGTTCTATGTGCTATCTAACCCGAAAGTTGGACTTTAAGCAGTGTGTAATAGCATTACAAGCACATCAGGGTGGGGCATGCTGTTTTCGTAGTTCTGGATAGACGCAATTACAACGTGTTACATGTTGCGCTGGATGACAGGAACGCAACGTTTGACCCGTGTTTCTTAGGACCTTGGATCTGATGAGCCGCGAGGAGCTGGACAGGTGACGCAGATGAAAGACACTCTTTTTTGCTTTACGGGATGCTCCCTTTGTTGCGTTTTCCGGGTTTGGGCAGTTTAGATGTGGATTCTGTTCCTGGCTCTTCGCTTTGTGGCCTTTCCGGGCTTGATTGGCTTTGTGGCTTCTTTTCTGCTTCGGCTTTGCGGCTTTGTGATTTTGTATCCTAAATCGTGTAGACATTCAACCAAACACTGTTTGATGCAACGAATCCACCTGAACGCCAACTTTGTCAGCTTCCGGCATGAGTTTGTTCATTTTGTTCAATGTGTTCGACTTGATCCTGCTTCGCTCAGGGCCATGTGCTGGCTGAACAAATTGTCGAACATCGGGACAGCTGAGCTGCATGCGAATGCATAACAAGCTGACTAGCATGCTTGAACGCTTAGTGTGGTTTGGATGTTTCATTCGTGAGCCTCATTTCCTTGAAAAGGGCATCCTGAAGTGGGGCGGGGTCAATGAGTGCCAGTCCGCCTCAGCCGCAGGTTTCGTGGCTGCATCAGCGAGACATGTGATTCAATGCGGCGGCTCCTGGAAAAGCAACAGATGCCTGATTCAAACTGGTTGTGGGCGAGGGCAGTTGCGTCGCACCGTGCGCTATGGGAGCTTGTCCGGTGCATGATCGCAATCGCATATGTTTGAAGGAATTTTCAGAAGCCTTCTTGACCAATGAAGGTGCGAACAAGTTGCGTGTTTGTTTGAGCATGATGTGGTAAAGGAATGCGGGGTTGTGGAGTTCGGCATATATTCCACGCTTCGCTGGCGCCAAACGGGGTTGTTCTTTCAATGAGTCATACAGTGTTTTGTTTGCGTGCTTGGTGTCACACATTGTGTAAACTGGTCGGCACCTTTCAAACCTATCGTTTGGCCAACAAAATGAATGTTGGACGTGGCAAACAACACAAGCCGGCACCAATGTATTGACAAAGATCACGCGCCGACAGCCAGCTATTGGGTTGCAAAACCAGGCCCAATACAGTACCACCTTCTCGCAGAAGGAGTTTGAACATGGCTTCGGATTGCAGGCTTGCTTGGCTTGCTCGGCCTTTGCTACGCTCAGATATTGCCGATCTTTTTTCTGAGTCGTGTTTTGTAGGGTTCGGCTTGCAGGGGTGCTTTCTTAAAGAGGCATTCAAACGGAGGATCAACATTTTGGGCCTGCGGGTCGCTCTTTTGAACAACAAATGGATGGGTGAAGTCCTGAGGCCGCTAAAGGTGGCATGAGCTGTTTGACGCTCTCGGCCAATGAGTTCTGCTCAGTCTGAAACGTGCGGCTGAAGAACATATTTGACGGGAACAATGACTATCGGGCGGAAAACAGAATACCCGAGGGACAAAGCGAAGGCCAAAGGCCCCACAACCCAAGCCAAGAATGCACATCGCTTCAAGATCGCACACCTGCATGGACTACATGTACTGCCCAATTTGCAACCCAAGTTTGTAGAGGATTCTAATGCCTGTTTAAATGGGCGCTGTCCATTTGGAGAAATGCCTTTCGTGTTTGTTTGCCACATACATATATAGCGAAACCAATTTCTTGGAAGGTGTACCCTCTCCTTTTTTGTGGGAGGCCCTTTTTTGGCTTGACGGCGAAAAGCAAAGAAGGGAGGTTGGGTTGGACAGTTGAAGGATATGGTGCTGACCCCCCAAAAACGCCGAGTGCCCACCTCGAGAGCCATGCGCCAAGCGCCCACCGAGGAGGGACCAGCGCCTCCAACTGCGCAGCTGCGCGGAGGAGGCGGCGGAGAAAGCAGCGGATATGTGCGTGCAGATGGTGCAGAAGGAGTGGCCCACCCTGAAGGACCCGGCAGGTGTGCACCGGCAAACGGTCGGAACGTTGGATTTGATGCCATTGTGGCCGCGGGGGTCAAGCCGAAGGGTGTGGTGGGTGCCCCGTGAGAACCAGACAACTATTGGGGTGCCCCACGCTAGCATATTAACAAATGATGTATACCCATAAGTTCTCAACAAAAAGCGGGGACAAGACAAGCGCAGGGTTGTGGTGTCTATTGGCTGCGGGTGGGGTGTGGGGTGTGGTGGTGCACCTCCTGGTGTCAACAGTTTGCACAAATGAGATAGACCTGCTTGAAGATGCGCACTTGTCACGGTCGAGACTTGGCTGACTTGGGTTCTGCCGGGGTTGTCATCCATTGTTCAAACGCGCTAGAGGGACTTCGATAGAGAGGTACCGATGCAGTACAAAGCACTCCCAAGACATGGATCTCGGCGAATTAATATATGATACCACGTTGCACGTATCAAGGAGCCATGCGATATGTGGCGTTCTTCTCCAAAGCTTGTCTGTTAGTTTCTTGCTTCAATGGGCCTCACCGGGGCAGTCAGCCGCTGCGAGACAGCAGGAAATGTGGCTTCTTTGGAGACGCGAGGCATGTGGGTGCTGGGCTGGGCTGAGCAGTGGCGCCTCCGTTGGGGCAGTGGACCATGTAGTTCAGTAGCTCCCGTGTATCCCATGTTTCGCTGCCGGCGAATGAGGGGAACCCTTTTCCCATGGCCACTGCTCAACTATCCAAAGCACCCTTTCACTCGCAGTGACCAGGGCGCGCTATCAACCGTTTGGTAGGGATTTGACCATGGCACGCATGTCAAACCAATGAGCAGAGATGTGGGAGGAGGGGTGCGGGTACATTTCGTTTCCAGTGTCATTTGCTACTTCCCTGCTGAATTCGGGGCTCCCCCCAATCCCCGCTCTCGCATCCCTGCGATGTCGTTTCCCCAGACATGGTTTCCACCAGTTTCCACCATCCGGACGGGTAGGATGCTGTAGTCTTGGCTGACTGAAACGCTTGCGAAGGGCCGAGTTCTTTGGCAATAGTTGAACTTTTGCCGAGGCTGGCCAGTGCCGTTCAGTTGAATGCAACGAATGATTGAACGCCAATGATTGAGAACCTTGTTTGTTGGGTTTGTTCACGTGCTTCTTTGCCAGTTTGCCACGTTTTGGGCTTGAAGCACAGGACGAGGCGCGGTGGGACGCCTACAGCGAGCACTTGGAGCGCCTTGAGCGGCAACTGCTACACAGCTCCGAGGCTTGTGCGGCGAGGACGCGGTTTGGGGTCCAAGCAGGAGACCCGGAAGGACCCTTGTCCGGGTTCAAAAAAGAGCATGCGAGCATGCCTTTGAGCTTCAAGGAAACAAGAGCTGTGGTTGTGGCGCATGGTTTTGTGGAGACCATCACTGCAGGCCTTGAGCGCACAGCTGGCGGCACTGGAAGCCAAGCCGCAGCTCCAGGGTGCAGATTTGCAGGCGGCGGAGCAGCGGATCTGCGACAAGGCTGGGGGGCGGGGGGGAGGCGGCGGGCAGGGAGAGGCGAGGGGGGGATCCTTTTCGCGGGGAATCTGTGTATTTTGGTTGCGTTTTGATGAATTTGTGACTGTATGGTTTGGCTTTTGGTTGATATGCGTGAACCCATGAACCATCGTATACAGGCAACCAGCATGATGAGTCATAGCGGCGGCAGGTGGTTGCCAAGGCAGGGGAGGAAGCGGGTTTGTCTCTGTCACAGCGCCTTTCTTTCTGTTGTCTAAGGTTCAAGCCGCCTTCATGTTGCTCTTGCGATGATTCGGAGGGCTGATTTGGCATGGCAACTTGCGAGCCAAGGTTTTGGGGTCAAGGTTTTGGGAAGGTTTTTCTTCTGCTTGAGAATGGCAGAGCATGATTCGGGGCAACTTCAGCAAGTTCCACGAAACTCTCTAGAAAGTACAGCCTCAGCTGGGTTCAGGATATTTCAGGATAGGTCAAAGTCTGGATGTGGCTAGGCAAAGCAGGTGATTTCTTGAGCCGACTTCGGTTTATATACATTTGGATAAACGATGGCACCAATTCTCCACTCAGATTGAATCATCCCCTACTCTACTCATTTACTCATCTACTTTCACCTGTCGCATTTGTTGCGACCTCACTCCCTCGGGCTTGCGGGGAAGTGCCCCAAAACGACCCGACAGCTCTCCAGGACTTACTTGGGACCCCGCTCGCCGCAAACCCATGATTGGCTAAGACCCCCCATAGTCTGCTGAGAAAGGCCTACACACCCTGGTCCCAGTTAAAAGATCCTGGTACAACAGGCGTTGCTTGGGATGTGCCACGCAGGTTGCGGAGGTCGCAGCCGAGGTCTTGAAGCCATACCACCTGCAGAGCTTGCAGGCGCGACTTTTGACCCCATCATGTGTGTGGTAAAAAGGCGCCTCAGGGTAGAGATAGTCTCCGAGCCATGAAGCATGCAGCGCATCGCTGTGTCGAAGTGGTTCCTCCAATCTCTCTCTCTCTCATGAACATGAACCCCCAATTCCCATGTTGAGAGCGAAGCTCCTTTCCCGCCGCCCTTGCGGCTGTCAATTGTGTTTCGAGGCATTTGACTCTTGCCCGAAGGCGGAGGTGACATCCCTGGCTCTGGCTGCCCGCGAGGCAGCGGTGCCGGTGCAGGAGCCAACCTCGGGCCCGGCGCTTGAGGCGCGGGGTCGAGGGCGTGGAGAAGCGAGGCCCATAGTGCTCCAATATGTTTGAAGCGGGCCATGTATCCATCATGCGTCGCTGAAACATATCGACACCATGCTTAAAAGACAGAGAAAACTGCCAGCTGCGTACTGGCCCGTCCAATCGTTTAGGGTCAGTTTAGGGTGGGTTTAGGGTCGGTCTAGGGTTGGTTTAAGGGTCGGTTTAGGGTGTTTAGGGTTGGTTTGGAGTTGGTTTAGGGTTGGTTTAGGGTCGGTTTAGGCTTGGTTTGGGGTTGGTTTAGGTTTGGTTTGGGGTTGGTTTAGGCTTGGTTTAGGGTGGGTTTAGGGTGGGTTTAGGGTCGGTCCAAGGTTGGTTTAGGGTTGGTTTAGGGTTGGTTTGGGTTTGGGTTAGGTTTGGTTTAGGGTTGGTTTAGGGTCGGTTTACGGTTGGTTTACGGTTGGTTTAGGCTTGGTTTAGGGTTGGTTTGGAGTTGGTTTAGGGTCGGTTTAGGCTTGGTTTAGGGTTGGTGTGGAGTTGGTTTAGGGTTGGTTTAGGGTCGGTTTAGGCTTGGTTTGGGGTTGGTTTAGGTTTGGTTTGGGGTTGGTTTAGGGTTGGTTTAGGTTTGGCTTAGGCTCGGTTTAGTCTTGGTTTAGGCTTGGTTTAGGGTAAGTTTAGGGTGGGTTTAGGGTCGGTCCAAGGTTGGTTTAGGGTTAGTTTAGGGTCGGTTTAGGGTCGGTTTAGGCTTGGTTTAAGCTTGGTTTAGGGTCAGTTTAGGACGGGTTTAGGGTCGGTCTAGGGTTGGTTTAGGGTTGGTTTAGGGTTGGTTTAGGGTTGGTTTAGGTTGGTTTAGGGTGGGTTTAGGGTCGGTTTAGGGTGGGTTTAGGCTTGGTTTAGGCTTGGTTTAGGCTTGGTTTAGGCTTGGTTTAGGGTCGGTTTAGGGTCGGTTTAGGGTGGGTTTAGGCTTGGTTTAGGGTCGGTTTAGGGTTGGTTTAGGGTTGGTTTGGGGTTGGTTTGGGTGGGTTTAGGCTCGGTTTAGGGTTGGTTTCGGGTCGGTTTAGGGTTGGTTTAGGGTTACTTTAGGGTCGGTTTAGGGTCGGTTTAGGCTTGGTTTAGGCTTGGTTTAGGGTCAGTTTAGGGTGGGTTTAGGGTCGGTCTAGGGTTGGTTTAGGGTTGGTTTAGGGTTGGTTTAGGGTTGGTTCAGGGTCGGTTCAGGGTCGGTTTAGGGTCGGGTCGGTTTTAGGCGGTTTAGGCTTTCGGCTTGGTTTAGGGTCGGTTTAGGGTGGGTTTAGGGTCGGGCTAGGGTTGGTTTAGGGTTGGTTCAGGGTTGCTTTAGGGTTGGTTTAGGGTTGGTTTAGGGTCGGTTTAGGGTCGGTTTAGGGTCGGTTTAGGCTTGGTTTAGGCTTGGTTTAGGGTTGGTTTAGGGTTGGTTTAGGGTCGGTTTAGGGTCGGTTTAGGGTGGGATTAGGCTTGGTTTAGGGTCGGTTTAGGGTTGGTTTAGGGTTGGTTTGGGGTTGGTTTGGGTGGGTTTAGGCTCGGTTTAGGGTTGTTTTCGGGTCGGTTTAAGGGTTACTTTAGGGTCGGTTTAGGGTCGGTTTAGGCTTGGTTTAGGCTTGGTTTAGGGTCAGTTTAGGGTGGGTTTAGGGTCGGTCTAGGGTTGGTTTAGGATTGGTTTAGGGTTGGTTTAGGGTTGGTTTAGGGTCGGTTTAGGGTTGGTTTAGGGTCGGTTTAGGGTTGGTTTACGGTTGGTTTAGGCTTGGTTTAGGGTTGGTTTGGAGTAGGTTTAGGGTTGGTTTAGGGTCGGTTTAGGCTTGGTTTGGGGTTGGTTTAGGCTTGGTTTAGGGTGGGTTTGGGGTGGGTTTAGGCTTGGTTTAGGGTGGGTTTAGGGTCGGTCTAGGGTTGGTTTAGGGTCGGTTTAGGCTTGGTTTGGGGTCCGTCAAAACCCCCGTCAAACCCCCGTCAAAGCCTCCGTCAAAGCCCCGTCAAAACCTGCGTCAAAACCCCCGTCAAAACCCCCGTCAAAGCCTCCGTCAAAACCTCCGTCAAAACCTCCGTCAAAACCCCCGTCAAAACCTCCGTCAAAACCTCCGTCAAACCCCCGTCAAAACCTCCGTCAAAACCCCCGTCAAAACCCCCGTCAAAGCCTCCGTCAAAACCTCCGTCAAAACCTCCGTCAATCAAAACCCCCGTCAAAACCCCCGTCAAATCCCCCATCAAAACCCCCGTCAAAACCTCCGTCAAAACTCCCGCCAAAACCTCCGTCAAAACCCCCGTCAAACCCCCGGCCAAACTTTACCTTTGTCCCCAGGGGGCAACTCTAGTTGTGGTGTGAAAGCCAGTTGGCAGTATCCGCTATAGTCTAGCTGGTTAGGATGCTTGGCTCTCACCCGAGGGGCTCGGGCTCAAGCCCCGGTGGCGGAATCTTGGCCTCACTGACAATGGCTGGTTGGTCATCTACTGGCAGGGAACGATCAGTTTCAACCCGGACGGCGTTTTGAGGGTTTTGACGGAGGTTTTGACGGAGGGTTTTGCAGCTGTGCGGCCCGGGCGGAACCTGCCCCAAAGAGCCGTTTTCGCAAGGTTGTGCCCCATGGGCGGAACCTGCCAAAAAGACCCGTTTTGGCAAGGTTGCGCCCACTGGGTAAAAAAAAACTTCCGCTGTCAAAACCTCCGTCAAAAATCCCGTCAAAACACCCGTCAGAGCCTCCGCCACAGCACCCGTCAACACCCTCCGGCCAAACCTCAAAACCCCCGTCAAAACCTCCGTCAAAACCCCCGTCAAAACCCCCGTCAAAGCCTCCGTCAAACCCCCGTCAAAACCCCCGTCAAACCCCCGTCCAAACTTTACCTTTCTCCCCAGGGGGCAACTCTAGTTGTGGTGTGAAAGCCAGTTGGCAGTATCCGATATAGTCTAGCTGGTTAGGATGCTTGGCTCTCACCCGAGGGGCTCGGGCTCAAGCCCTGGTGGCGGAATCTTGGCCTCACTGACAATGAGCCCCGTCCAAACCCCCGGCAAAACCTCCGTCACAACCCCCGTCAACACCCCCGCTAAAACTCAGAGCCTTGCGCCAAAACCCCCGTCAGAGTCCCGTCCAACTCCCACCAAGACCTCCGTCAAAACACCTCAGCTTTGCTATGCCCCAGCTGGCAGGGAGAAAGTGTGCGATTGCAGGGTGGGGCGGTGTAGGATTGGCGTCTCATGTAGTTTGCGATTGTCGGTTGGGAGGAGTATCCGCTTGGACGGTCGAGTGTCTCTGATTGGGGGGTCACCCTAAAAGACACTTCCATTTTAGAATCCTCCCGTGTCTGCACTATGTTCTACGTTGGCCCCCAACTGTGTACCGCCAGCCCTCTTCACAAGGTCCTGACTCACGGTAGCAGACCAGATCCTATTGTGGCCTACTCAGCGGTCACAACCAAAGACCCTTATCACACGGGTATGCGGTTATTTCCTAAGATAAGAAACAGCTACAAATGGTTTCTTCTAAACCCCTAGGGTCCGCCATTGTCTGGCGCGGTTTTTGTACGCCAGTCACGTCTCTGCTAGGACGTCCTGGAGGATCAGCTCCTCAAGGTGCGGAGCATCCTCAACGATGAGGCGCGGGGTCCGCGGGTCCGCGGGTCTGTGGGTCCGCTACCCTCGCGAGGATGCGGAACGCCGACTTCAAATGGCTCAAAGTGCTTTGGTTTTCATTTTTTGGTACTCTGGGCCACAGGCTGGAAAACAGGAAGCTTATTGCGCAAGTCAAGGAAAGGCCAAGCGGCATTGATCAAACCCGACGGGGACCTCCACGTTGCCAATCCGCGGAAGAGGGGAACCTCACCCTTTACTTGCGGACTCTTCCGACTCGGATTGCCCTCTGCTTTTCCGGGATCCTTTCCAAACCTCCCAAGTTCCGAGAGAAACGCCTGTGTTGAAAAGAACTCGTGGAATGGACCCATCGGAGGTGCTGCCGCGCCTCGGCCCCCTGGAGCATCTCTCCCAAAGATTGGAGGCGACGGGTTGACAGCCCGCTGTGAAGGCTTCGGGTTTCGCCAGTGGCTTCATTGCAGGTTTTGAGGGCGACCCAAAGCCATTTGAAGTCTTCTTCCATTCCTTTTTCTCGTCTCGTCTCGTCTCGTCTCGTCTCGTCTCGTCTCGTCTCGTCTCTCTCTCTCTCTCTCTCTCTCTCTCTCTCTCTCTCTCTCTCTCTCTCTCTCTCTCTCTCTCTCTCACTCTCTCTCTCTCTCTGTCTCTCTCGCTAAAATTGGTTGTTACTTTGCTTACAAGTGCAAGTGCTGTAGTGTTCAAACAAACAGTCAACCAATGTAGTCTGCAGCTGCCAACCTTTTGACTCATGCGGAGTAGTAAGCTCAAGGCCTGCGGTAGTGAACATACATGCAACAAGGTGCAAAGTGAAGCATGTAGTTTGACACGGCCCCTCAGTTAAAAGGTCTTTGTAGTACCTTTTCAACTGAAGTGCAAAACATGGATTGACAGTAGTGATGAAAACCATTGTTGTTCATCAATTCTACTGTATTGGCAAAAGTAGTGACCTGCGCTCAGTAGTTCACGCTGTTCAGGTTCCAGCTCGATGTAGGGCGCTGGACGGAAGTAGTGAAGGCAGGCACTCGTTGTAGTAGAGCAGGAGCTCAAAAATGTAGTCCCCATTTCTGGGTGCGGTAGGCTTGGACCATCTGTAGTCGACTGTCCAAGGTCGCGTAGTAGTTGGTGGTGAAAAAGTTTGTCATGTAGTTTGGAGCTCCCCGTAGTCGCTCATCGTCAATCTCGGGACACGACATGTGTTGTTCGTAGTCCCGTAGAAAGCGGTGTAGTAGTGCTTTGTGGTGTTGTGTGAGGTTGGTCATTGTGAGTAGTGTGAATCCGTAGTATTGGATGCTTTTGCAGAGGATTGTAGTGATTGCTTTGTGTTGGTAGTCGTGGAGTTGGTCTCTGTTGTAGAGGTAGTGGAGTAGTTCAGGTAGTAGTAGTGGCATGTGGAAATTCCAAACGTAGTTGTTCCTGAGGCTGTAGTTGTCAGTGAAGGTGGCCATGTTGTAGTTCACCTTGAAGATGGTCTGTGGCAGTGTTGTAGTCGGGAGGTAGTAGTTGTGTTGTACCGACATCATGTAGGAGATGTAGTCCCTTGTGAAGTGTAGAAATTGTCCTGAAGTGAGGTACCTCAGGAGTAGTGGTTGTTCAATCTGGAGTTGGATGATGACGTAGTTGGTGTTGTCGCCAGTTGTAGTGTGGAGTGAAGTCGTGTGGTAGTAGTGGACATTGGCTGCTTCAGGTAGTGAAATGCTGAGCAGTGTGGAATTGTAGTGTGGCATCCGAAGATCTCCAGGGATGCAGTGAATGGGTCGTGTGTAGTCCAGTTGTGCCAGTGGAGTAGCTTGTTGTTGTGAGAGTAGTTGATACTCTTCAAGTGTAAATGCAGTGAAAAATTGCGTGTAGGGAATGTTGTTGGCCAGTGGTGGTGCAGTGGTTGTCTGGTGCTCAGTGATGTGTAGTTGGTCCATCACTGTGGTCGGGTTGTAGTAGACGGTGTTGCCGGGTGTAGAATGGTTGAAGTGGTAGTTGGAGTCGTTGTAGGTTTGAGGTGGTGGAGTTCCATGGTCACTGGAGTCTGTAGTGACCGCCACCTCTGGTGTAGACGCCCTGTCGGGTGTAGGCGCATCGCCCATCGTAGCATCTGCAGTAGATGGAGCGGCCATGGCTGCAGTGGAATGCAAAATGTAGTGAAACGGGGCAAAACAAATGAGCCTAAGTAGTTGCTACCAGGCAGTCGGCGAATGCAGACATGCAAAACAAACAACTGTAGTGTTGACTCAAGCCGCCAAAAGTGCAAGTGAAAGTACATGTAGTTACTGTTACTTACATACCAAAAGTGTCGTGTTACATGTAGCTACTTACATACATGAAATGTCCAAAGTCGTTGTTGTTGTTGTGAAACTGCTGTGCTGGTCGTTCGTAGTGCTAGATGCGTATTCCAATGCTCTGGATGAGCCTGTGTAGTGTTTCTTTGCTGATGTATTTGGTAAACAAATCTGCGCTGTTGTGGAGTGTGTTGATCTTAAGGATTCTGATGATGTCGTGCTTGATGAGGTCTTGTGTGTAGAGGAATTTGAGGTCGATGTGTTTTGCTCGTTTGCTAGTGCCTTGTCGTGTAGCAATGCTCTTGCCTGCTGTGGAGTCTGTGTGGATGCGTAGGTTTAGCTTGCTGCAAATGTTGGTTTCAAGTAGGAAGTTTCTGAGGTGTAGTCCCTCATTAACTCCTGTGCAAATGGCGTAGAGTTCAGACTCTGCTGAGCTAAGTGCTATTGTAGCTTGTGTTCTGCTGCCAAATGCAACTGTTGTTCCTAGAAAGATGATGTTGAAACCTGAAGTTGATTTCCTGGTAGTAGGGCATCCTGCCCAGTCGGCATCGACATGAACGTCGAGATCCAGGATGTTGTTGGTGTTTGCTCTGAGTGTTGTTGTTGGTTCTATGGTGAATTTGTAGTGCTTGGTGCCGTGCAAGTAGCGTAGTAGATGTTTGACTCTCTTTTGTGAAAGTTCTGTAGGTGCTGTGAGGTCTCGTGCTAGTTCTTTTGTGGAGTATGCAATGTCTGGTCGTGTGTATGCTAACCATTGAAGTTTGCCAACAATTCTTCTGTACCTTTTGTGTTGTTCGTGGTCAAGTAGTGCTTCATCTTCTATTGTTGGTTTGTAGTGTGCAATTCCTGGAGTGTTTACTGAGTTGCAGTTGTTCATTCCAGACTCCTCGATCATGTTGTCGATGTAGGAGTCCTTTAGTCCAAGATTGCAGTAGTTGCCGAAGTGGTCGATGTTTCTTCCAAGAAATTGTTGTGGTTTGCCAGGTTCGAGGTAGCCGATGTGCTTGAGTAGTACTTGCTTCTGGACGGCCTCGAAAGTGGAGTCGACTGCGGTCTTGTCTCCAAGTACTAGTAGATCGTCCACGTAGACCATGATGTAGCAGTCGCGAGTCGCATTGGTGTAGACGTTGGGTTCTGACTTTAGTCTTACAAAGCTGAGCTTTTGTAGAACTTCAGCCAGGTAGTCCTGCCATGCTTTCGGTGAACTGCGTAGTCCATACATGGCTTTCTTTAGTCGCCAGATTTTGTCCTGTTGTGGACAAAGTTCTTTAGGTGGCCAAAGGTAGACGTCACGTTGTTTACCGTCGTGGTCTTTTGCGATGGGTGCGTGTAGAAATGCTGTAGAGACGTCACCTAGTCGCGCGATCCAGTTTGGTCGTGACATTTGTAGTGCGAGAAGTGTCCGGAGTGTCGTGAACATTGGTGTAGAGGCGTAGACGGAGTCTTCGTCCTCGATCTTCTCGGTGTAGCCTTTTGCGACGATTCGGCTTCGTACTCCTGGTCCTTTCTTCCTGTGTACCCATCTTGTAGGTATCGCTTCTCTGATGACGTTGTCGTTGACGGTAGACGCATCTACTTCGTCGTAGACGTCGTGTAGTTTCATTTGGTTTGACTCGTGTTTCATTCCTTCCAGTAGTTGTGTTTCGTCGTAACCTTCGTTGTCGAAGATTATGGGTTGGTCTTCTGAGGTGTCGTCGTTTGTGTAGGGAGTGATGGATTTTCCGTTGGGAAGTGTCACTGCGTTGATTTTCTGTCGTAGTGGTGGTGGTTCTTTGGTTGCTTGTTCCGTTGATCTGATTGTAGTGTCCTTTGAGGTCTTCTGTGCTTTAGTTGGTTGCATTACTTCTTCCGGAGTTAAGCGTCGTAGTGTTTGTCGAGGTGGTGCTGGTAGTGGTGGATGTTGTCGTCCAGCTGGTGAAGTAGCCATAGGACTATCCGGTAGTGGTCGTGAACTTGACGTCGATGTGGACGGAAGTCGTGGAGGTGGCGTAGTGCGTTGTTGTTTTGTTGCGGGTTCTGCAACGATGTCGTCCGTCGCATTCGTTTGTTGTCCGAAGTCTTGCGTGGACCTTCTTCTCTCTGACGGTGGTAGTTGCGCATCCAACAGTGTTGCGAACGATGGGTTGTAGGTGTTCCGTCGTGGTGCCCATGGTTTGCCGGAGACTTTGTTCAACAGTGCGAGGTCGTATTTGAAGTCCGGTTGTAGTCTCCGTACTGTTCGTACCTTTTGTACGCCTGATTCCGTTGCGACGTAGTGTTCTCCGGTTTCGGAAACTTTTCCGAGCCAGATGCATTTCTGCATCCGTAGGTCTGCTTTCGGAAGTTTCTTGTGTTGCGGTGGAAGGTAGGGTAGTGTCTCGCCAAATTCGCAGATTGCTCGCTCGTAGTTTCTTCCCCAGCGGCGTTCAAAGCTTGTGTAGCCGTCTGAGTGGATGACGTAGCGATTTACCGTCCATGCTGCATGTCGTACTATCCAAGGTAGTAGACAGTGCTTTGTGGACATCGTCATGCTGTAGTTGCTTTCAACTTGAGCTTTGACGACGCGGATTTGTCCGAGAAGTGTTCTATGTAGTCGCTCAACGCTTCCTTGACTGTTGCTGCTGTAGGAAGGTGAATGTCGTACACTCATTGTGCCGACTTTTGCTGCTGTAGCTTTTAGAAGTGCGTTGAGTGTGTCTTCGTTGTCGCTTTGTAGTATGCCTTGTGTTCTTCCGCACTCAAAGATGAATGCTTGTAGGTTGTTGACCATGTAGTCCATCATTGATGCTTTGTCTGGAACCAATACTGCCATACACAGTTGTGTAGTAACATCAACTGCTGTCAGTACCGGTGTGGTCTTTGGGTCTTGTTGTGACTTGATGTAGGCAAAGTCTACTTGAATGACAGGTTGTCGTGATTGTTGTTTCTTGTAGTTGTCTTGGCGTCCTTTGCCTTGAACGCAAATTGGACACCAGTTTCTGTATGGTAGATGTGTAAGGTTGTGTTCTGCTATTTGTTGTGGAGTGGGCTGCTGTGGTTGTCGTAGTCCTCTTGCTCTGTGTGCTTCATGATGCTCGTGTTGTTGTTCTTCATCGTGGTTCTCCTGGATGTACTCGTAGTCTTTCTTCACGGTGAACCTTGTTGTTCCTTTCCATTGAAATGGTAGTGCTGCGTTGCCCATGACTGTCCAGTCATCTTTGCGTTGTGAAACTTCTCCAAAGTTGTTGTGAGTGATTGTAGTTCTGTAAGGTTCAAGTGTGTTGATTGGTGGATGTCCTGGTCCATCTGTTGGAGTGAAGAGAGTTGTTCTAAGCGTTGTGTGGTGTCGTATCCAGTGTTCACCTTGTCTTTCCCAGTAGTCTTGGTTGTCCTCCTGTGCTGTGAGTGGTCTGTGTATTGTCTCCTTTGGTTGTGTGGTGTCAAGGTTTGTTGAAGGTGCTGCTTTGGGTCTCCATATCTTTTGTGGTGCTCGTAGTTGGATCTTTGATCTGGTTGGTGGTGTGTCCATTAGCCGTTGTGGTTGTGAGCTCTGCCTTGTTGGTGTGGTCTTTGATGTTGCTCTGCGTGTAGGTGTTATCTTTCTTCTGAATCTGGTTTCTCCAGTCCAGTTGTCACCTTCTAGTCTTCGTTGTAGTTCTTGCTTGGAAAGTTGTGTTGGGTTCTCTTGTAGTTGTTCTTGCTCTTGCCCTTGTCTGTTGATGATGGTTAGTCTCCAATCATCTAGTTCTCCTTCTGGTATTGGGCAGCCACTGTTGTGTGGTGTGAACAGTGCTTTGCGTGGTCGTTTGTGTACTCTGATGGCGTAGTCACCATCAAGTTTCCAGTAGTCAGTGTTTCCACCAAGGATCTGTCGTAGTCCTTGGTCTGTGTGTGTGTGAGTGGTGCGATTTGTTCTTGTTGTTGTGCTGCTCTCTCTGTAGGTTGAATCACAGCAATGGATTTTCCATTGTCTGTAGTCATTGGGTAGATGTCGAATCCTGTAGGAATGTCGATCTTCTCTGCTCGTAGGTAAAAAAGTCCTGAGTGTCTTATGAGGTGTGCTTGTTGTTGTCCATGTGTGATGGTGCAGTGTCGTGGAGTGAAGTCAAGTCCATATCCTCTATCAAGTAGTCTTGATGCGCTGAGGATTGGATACTTCACATCACAAACGTAGTAGGGTATCATGATCCTGAAGTTGTCCTGCTTGTAGGGAACGTACTTGATGCCGTAGACTGGAATCTTCTTGTTGGTCACCGTGTAGAGTTGTGGAACTGATTCTCCACAGGGTCGTAGTGGAAGATCCGGTGCGTAGTCCTTTGGGCAAACATGTGTAGATGCTCCTGAGTCGATCAACAGGTGGTGGTATGACTTGAAGTTGGAGTACATGATGTAGTGGGTGATAGTGTCCTCAATCTTCTTGTTCCTTTGTTGTTGTCTTGCTGCTGCTATTTCGAAGTGTAGCTTTGTGGTGTCTTCTTGTAGGAATTGTTGAAAGCTCTTGCTGTGGTCGTTCCATGATGTTGTGTGTGTTGTTCTCTTGCCAAGTAGTGATGTGGATTTGTGCTTGTGTAGTCGTGATTTTGCTTGTCTGATGTATCCAATGGTGAGGTGTGACTCGTTGATGCCTCCAATGTAGTTCGCTGTGTCCTCATAGCTGTTGTCATTCCAATCCCAGCTGTTGTCATCGTCGTAGTCGTTCCAGTTCTCCTCCATGTAGTTCACCTCATGTTGTCCTGCTTCTCCTTCGTAGTACCAGTCCCAAGTGTCGTTCACATCCTGAGGTAGTTCATCATTGTTGTCGTGATCTGCTTGTTCTTGTTCTAGTGGATGTAGTTCTTCTCCTTCTCCTATGTGCCATACCGGCACTCTGCAGTCTTGTGCCCAGTGGCCGGGCTTGCCACATCGATGGCATGTTGTGTAGTTGTTGCTTCCTTTTCCTTTTGATTTGCTGTAGTTTCCTTGGCCTTTGTAGCCTTTGCTTGATCCATATCCTTTGGATCCTGAGTAGCCTTTTCCTTTGCTCTTGTTGTATCCTCCTTTGTTGTAGTTTCCTTTGCTGCCTTTGTCGAATCCTTTGTAGTGTCCTTTACTCCTGTACTTGCCTTTGCTCTTGCTTCCTTTGTAGCCGCCTTTTCCTTTTCCTTTGCCTTTGTAGCTTCTTCCTTTCCTCCATATGTTGTCAACATCCATTGGTGCAGTTCCTCCATTGTAGTTTGTTCCTACTGCTGAAGTAGATCTAGTGAAGGCTGAAATCGTTTTGTAGTAGTCCAGGATGAGTGCTCTGATCTCGATGTAGTTCGTGATCTGTCCAGCTCGCAGTTGGAGGTGTTGCTGCAGCGCTCCTTTGGTTTTGTTGAGTAGTATTGCTATTTTGATTCCATCTGGTAGTGCTGTTCCATTGTCTTTCTCGTAGCGGTTGATGTCGTATTCCCATTGTAGAAATTGTTCTTCAAACTGCGCTTCGTTGAATGTGGGTTCCAGTAGTTTGGTAAGGTAACCAACGCTCCTTGTTCCTACTGGTAGGCTGAACCTGTTGTGCAGTAGTCGTAGTGTTTCACATCCGTTTGCGTTGTAGCGGTTTTGCCTTACTACTGTAGCTGCTGCTCCCTGACAGATGTTGATGAGGATGTAGTGTAGATCTCTGGAGAGGTCTACTGCTTTGCTTGCTTGTGTAGGGTCGAGTATGTGTGTTCTGATGTCTGTGTCCTCAATCTGTCGTGTAGCCACTTGTGCTAGTTGTAGCACCAGGTCGAAGTCTCGGTCTATGAGGCCGAGGTATGCTTGTAGCTTGAACAGCCATTCTTCATACTGGGAGTAGTCACCAGTGAAGAAGGGTGGTGGCAGTTTGTATCTATGTAGTCTCTGAACGTCGTTGTCTTGTTCTGTTCCTGCTCCCGTAGTCGTGGCTCCTACTGTGTCTGCTGTTGGCCCGTTCTCTGCTCCTGTAGTTTGTTGCGCTGAGGCTGATGCTGCTTCTCCTGACATGTCGTAGTAGTTTGGCATGTAGCTGCTGTTGCTCTGTTGTTGTAGTACTTACTGCTTACTGGAGCTCCCCTATGTTTAGGATCTCAGCTCCGCTACCACGTTAAAATTGGTTGTTACTTTGCTTACAAGTGCAAGTGCTGTAGTGTTCAAACAAACAGTCAACCAATGTAGTCTGCAGCTGCCAACCTTTTGACTCATGCGGAGTAGTAAGCTCAAGGCCTGCGGTAGTGAACATACATGCAACAAGGGTGCAAAGTGAAGCATGTAGTTTGACATGTCTCTCTCTCTCTCTCTTTTTCTCTCTCTCTCTCTCTCTGTTTTTTTTTTCTCTCTCTCTCTCTCTCTCTTTGTTTTGTTTGCTTCAGCTGGCGATCTACGATATTCCTCACATGGCTGCCAGAGCCTGTTCGGCTGCAAAGTTTTGTTCTTCACGGGTTGTCCCTTGTTGGCCCATGGTCACCATTTGGTTTCCCTTTGCACTTTTGCATGCAGAGAAACCTCAGTTTTGACCAGCTACCATACATGGGTGTGTGATGATGCATGATACTAAACATTTGCTGCACGGCTAAGGGCGGCTTGGCGAGTCTTCAAACTTTGTGTCCTGAGTAGGCACGCACCCTCAGGGCAGGATCATGACCGGTATGCCTGATGCACGGCATTGTTGAGGATTGACAGTGAGATATTCTGTTTGAGAGGCAGCTTGTTTTCAAGGGAACCCAAAGGAACGCCGACTCTTCTTGATTTTGTTTTGACACATTCCCACGTTGTCCTTGGGTCCAACCCCTTCTTGGCCTTTTCGGTTGCCGAGTCCAGTCAAAGGCATGCGAGGTATTTCTCAAATCACGGGTAGGGCCGGTGTTTTGGTTCAGGGAAACCTACCAACAGGAAACCAGAGAAAAGCCAATATGAAGCCAACAGGAAACCACCCCAATTTTTTGGATGTTTTTTCTGCTCTTTTTAGACACCAAACCATGGCTTACAGCCGGTTTGCAGGATGCCCTCAAGGTGTCGGAGATGGAGCAAGAGGCCCCCGTGGGATTGGGCTCAGACGCTCAGACACGACCCTGTTTCAAGATTGGACATGCCTTCTTTGTACATTGATTGATTGCCAGAAGTTCAGAAGCATGGCTTGATGCAAGCCTTTTGTGCCCAAGAAAATAGAGCGGAGCTCTAGGACTTTGTCAGGGTTATGAGCCCAACGTTTTAGGGCGACCCGGCCATGGCTTCGTCGGCGGGATCGGCGCTGACGGCTGAAGACGGGAAGAACTCGCCGGAGAAGGAGACCGCTCTGGTTCCATGGGAGCCGCCTCAGCCCAGCAGGGATGATGCGGTGGCGCTGGGACCTGCCAGGGCAGTGGAGGTGGCGACCAATCCGTTTTGGTCGGAGCGAGCTCGTGAAGAAGCTCAGCTGCGAGCTCTACGGCCCAAGGACTTGCCGGACACCGAAGAGGGGCAACGGATGCCGGTGCAAGGTGGAGGTGGTGTGGTCTATGGGGCCGAGGTGGCTGCAGGGGGCGTGGAGGAGCTCATGGGTCTGTTTCGGCGAGTGGTTTGGCAGGAGATGAAGAGCCTTAAAGAGCAGCTTCGTGAACGGCATCAAGCTGGTGGAGGACCTGGAGGGCGAGAACTAGCAGATGCTTCCGGAGGTAGTGAAGGGCAAGCGCATGGAGGCCCTGAACGAGGTAGCGCGCAAGGCGGTGGTCCTGGAGCAGATCTTCTGGGCCTCGTGAGAGTTGGATTTCATCAAGCAGCGGAGGTTCATGACGGCCAAGGTGGAGGACGAGATCAACCTTCGGGACACCGTGGAAGGCACGATGAGGGACATCGAGGAGTACCAGATGGACTAAACGGTGGTCAAGGCAACGGAGTCGGGGGATCTTGTGAAGAGGGGGAAGGTGGAATGGCTCCTTTGGTGCTGCGAGGAGGTGGTCCAGGAGCTGGAAACGTGGAAGGCCAGTTGGGCCAAGGATGGAATGTCTTGGCGGCAGCGTATGGAGGAGGACAACCAGCTAGAGCTCAGCAAGGGGAAACCCGGGTTGCACATCAAGGTGGAGCTCATCAAGGTGGAGTTCAACGAGGGAACCAACGTCATGAAGGAGGCCTACTACAAGAAGGGAATGGTTGGTGTAGGGGAAGACAGGCTCCCGGGGAAGGACATGCTGCGGGTGGAGGCTATGAAGGACCGCTCTATGGGGCCTTCGGACATCAAGGAGATGGCGCTACGGGGGCACCGTGGATGGGGGGGTGGATGCCGGGTGAGATCATTCGCAACGTGGACCTGCCGATGTTGGGGGAAGTGAAAGAAGGGGAACTGGGTTCGCTGGTGGTGGGAGATTGGTTGACGCTGATCAATCCTCTTATGAAGGATTTGACGATGAGCTCGGGCGCTTGGTGGGAAGAGGTGCTCGCGGTGTCGTCGGAGGCGTACGCGATGTGGCTGCAAGCTGATCCTCTGCAGAGGCTTCACATTCGACCACGGGCAGTGGTGGACAACACGGGGCGTTGGCGGAGGGTGGAACAGCGGGCGCAGTCGATGTTGCTGACAGCTTTACCTCTGGGGTTGAAGTCGGAGGTACTAGCAGAAAGGGCAACGGCCCCGGGGGAGATCCTGTTCCGGGTGTTCACGCGGTATCAGCCTGGAGGACTTGGAGAGCGAGCGCAGCTTCTGCGCACCTTGGTGGAGCCGAAGATTCCAGCTTCGCTGAGCGAGGCGGTGGATTCGGTTCGGGCCTGGAAACGGTGGTTGGCACGGACTAGGGAGCTGCGGGTAGCTACCCCAGATGCTACGCTATTGGTGGGGGCTCTGGACCGGTTTGTCGGGGTCATCACCAAGTGCTCCAGCCAAGCAATGTTCAGGTTGAACGCTGCCAGGGCAGGATTGAGGGTGGATGTGTCGCCGGTTATGGATGCGGTGGCGCAGTTTGCGGATGTGATCTTGGCTGAGGCGGAGGCGGCGCTGCATGGGTCATTGGCGGCGGCGGCAAGTACGGCAAAGGTCAAGGCTGTCATGGTGGGTGACCAGGGCAAGGACGCGCTGAAGCCGCAGACAGGTCCTGGCAAAGGAGAAGGGAAAAGTCAGGGCAAGGTGGGTGGCTATCAGTGCCGGTACTTTATCTCGGACGGGGGCTGCAAGAAGGGCGCGGACTGCCAGTACAACCGACGGGAATGGAATAGAGAAGCGTGGAAGGTGTTGGGGCTGCGGTGCGGTCAGCCACACCAAAAAGGACTGCCCGGTCAAGCCCTTCAAGGATGTTGGAGGAGGAAAAGGGAGTTCCAAAGGTGAAGGAAAAGGAAAGGCGGTGAAGAAGGTGGAAGTCGGTGGTGGTGGTGGAGAGGAGAAAGTTGAAGCTCAGACTACATCGGCGACTCCATCGGTGGCATCTTCACCGGAGAAGGAGAAATCAGAAGGCGGGGAGTCGATGGCCGCGTTGGTCAAGGAGGCGGCGGGGCTTCTCAAGAGCCTGAGGGGACCTTCCCTCAACCGAGTGAGCGGGCCATCACTCAACCGGGTGCAACTGAGCAACAAGAGGGGGGGCCACTCACAGCCTGAGGAAGAGCTCTTCTTGAGAGGAATGGGAGGAGGCAAGAGATGCTGAGGTGCAGCTTGCGCGAGGTTCTGTCTGGCTTCGGCAAGTGGCGTGGACGAGAACGTTGCTCGCGGAGGAGGAGGTCCAGCCCATTGTCCCTTTGGGCCACTTGATCCAGCTCGGCTACAACGTGCGTTGGGAGGGGACGACCTTCGTGCTGACAGACCGGGAAGGGCGAGTCTTGGATACGATGCTGGAGGCAGGTTGCCCCACGGTAGATGAGGAGCTGGGATTGGAGCTCACCAAGGAGCTAGAGGAGGAGGCAATCAAGCAGCGGATGCGGCTCATGGTGTTGAATGGAGAGGGGCTCACCCTGCGACAGGAGGACGAGGTGGGGGTTGAGACGGCGAAGTGGTTGAAGAAGCTGAAGCAGATTTTCCCGAACATGCCGGAGCGCATCCTGGAGAGGTTGCCCCCAAGGAGGAGGTGGGAGAGCGTTCCTTGGAACAGAAGGATTCGGAGGAGGCTGCAGCAGGCGGAGGAGATCATCATACACTTATACTCGGGCCCAGATGCGCGCTACTGGGAAAGAGAGCTCGGTACGGCAAAGCGTGTGGTGCTCTGTGTGGACATGGAGATCCATGAGAACCAGAACATGCTTTGAGACGACGTGATGGCGTTTCTCATGGAGCTGTGCGCTGGGGGCCGGGTGGTGGCGGTGATGGGGGTCCTCCTTGCCGAACTATCACGAGGTTGCGGTATGTTCAGCCCGGACAGCCACCCTTGAGGACACGGGAAGGTGAGCAGCGATTCGGGCGGAGCGACTTGCCGGTGGCGCTACAGCAGAAGGTGGATGATGACAGCGTGCTGTGGTTTCCGGATGTTGCTGTTCTACATGGTGGCAGAGGAGGCAGCGACGAAGAAGGTGGGGTTCATTGTGGAGAGTCCGCAGGACCCGGAGACCTACTTGGAGCAGAAGTCAGAAAGGGAGAGGTGTGCCTCCTACTGGAGTTTTGAGGAGTGGGCGCATTTGCGGGACCGGTACCAGCTCAAGGAGTTCAGCTGGGATCAAGGACCAATGGGACATCAGCGCCGGAAACCTACCACTATTGGGACCAATGTGGAGGCGTTGGGGCAGCTACATGAGGTACGTGGACGGGCATGACCGTGGGCCGCTGGGAAGTACGTTATCCGAAAGGATGGCAGCCTCGAGAAAGTGGGCAGCATGGGCGCCTGGCATGAAGAAGGCGATGGTGGTAGCCTTGGAGGTGTTCATCGGGAACGGCATGGGCAGGAAGCTCTCAATGGCAGGCGCGCTTGGCCAATGACCACCTGCCTTTCTATCGAGGGTGCAAGACGTGCCTAACAGCGGCGGGGAAGTCCAGGTACCACACCAAGGTGGTGGATCGGGACAGCTTCACGTTGGCGGTGGGTCTGGGGGGCCCTTTCCAGTTCGGCAAGGACCAGGAGGGGCAGGGCGCTACATGGTGGTGGGCGTCCACACCATCCCCGTCACGAAGGAGGGCAAGGCCTTGATGAATCTGGCGCCGGAGCAGCTGGAGAACCTGGAGGTGGTCGGAGGGATCCCGGAGGAGGAGGACAAGGGGGTGGACAGCCTCCGGACATCCAGAGCGGGAGGGCCGGCGTGGGATACGGTTCGATGGAGGATGACCCTTGACATGGAATCCCACGAGGTGCTGGAGTCGGAGACGGTTCTGGGAGTCGAGTGGAAGGACTTGCACAAGAAGCTGGACCGGAAGAGAGACGTCATCACGGTGCTCTACTACCAGGGAGGTGAAGGTGAGGATGCTGGAATGCCAGGGGAAGAGCCTTTGCCGGAGGAGGAAGAAGGTGAGGTTGCTGATGACGGTGAGGAGTGGTTGAAGAAAGTTGAAGAGGAAGAGGACTTCGAGGTTCGGCAGTTGACGTTGGTAGAAATCGTCAAGAGCCGGGCGAGTGCAAACCTCATGGAAGCGGTGGCTAGGATGGTGACGAAGTTGAGGTACTATGGGCTGCCGGTCAAGCGTCTTCATAGTGACCGAGCCGGGGAGTTCACTGCAAAGAGAGCAAGGCAATGGGCCCTGGACCGGGGCATCCTGCGAACCTTCACGGACGGGAGCTCGTGGAAGATGAACGGCCGTGCAGAAGCAGAGGTGGGCTTCATGAAGAGGCTGACCAACACGTTGCTCAAGGGCACGGGCGTTGAGGAGAAGCTGTGGCCTTTGGCGGCGAGGCATGCTGGAGAAAGAAGGTGGAGGACACAGGTCAAGGCCTGGAACAACAGGACGAAGGACTGGCAGGTTTATCGCAAGCAAGTGACCAGACATCTCAATGACGGCTTCCTCGGGGGGGTACTTTGTCCAGGGGGAGGACGGAAGGTTCTTCCACACGGTGGACGTGGTGATGGCAGAGGACCCACCGGAGGAGGACGAAGCTGTGGATGCGGTGGAAGGGGATCAGGATGATCTTGGAGTGAGGCCAGTGGTTCGGAGGTTGAGGGAGAAGACATCTCCGTTTGGAGTGGCCGAGCGGGGCTTCGTTCCATGATGATGAACTGTCAGGCCATGGGGAGGTTGATGATGGAGGAGGAATGGCGCCTTGGTGAGGAGAACGGGGACTACAATATGGTCAAGGTGGTAGTCGACATGCTGGTGGCAGAAGATGCCGAGATCGGTCGGTGGCTCCAAGCTCTACAAGGCCAGGAAGACCGGGAGCTCTTTGAGGAGTGTGCGGAAAAGGCGGCAGGTTCTGCAGACCAAGACCTACAGCCTTGGGGAGATCCGAAAGGAGCTGGAGAAGTGGATACCGGCGGAGCGTCTACGAGCGGTGGCGGCTGCCAAGGGCCTTTCCCTATGATCGTGTCCCTGGGAAAGCTGTGTTCACCAGAAAGGCCGGTTTCGGACGGAGAAAATGCCGTGGTGTGGCGTGTGGCCATTACATGAGCCCACGTCCAGCTGCTGCAACTTATGCAGGTGGGATATGCGTCCCAGGTGAGGGCCATGGTGGCCGGCTGGGGTCCAGCGGGGGTGGTCGTTGGCTGGAGTGGATGTTCGTACAGCTTTTCTCCAGGTTCCGCCCGGGCAAACCGAAGACATAGTGGTGGTGAACCCGCCGTCGATCTTCCAGGACGCCAACGTTATGGCGCCGGGAGAGTTGTGGGCGGTGGAAGGGAGTGTCTACGGTTTGACGACTTCACCAAGGGCCTGGGCAGACCATCGGGATGAGACTATGGGGTCCATCAGTTGGGAGGTCAAGGATGACGAGGGTGTTTGCCAAGCTGGTTCGAGAAGACGAAGGAGACGAACCTGTGGCGAGTGAGGGTGAAGCGGAAGGAGAAGGCCGAGACAGTCGGGCACATGGCGGTGTATATCGACGATATGCTGATCACAGGCGATGAGACCGTGATCGCAGCCACGCTCAAGAAATTGAGAGAGGTGTGGGAGACCAGTGAACCGGAATGGTTGACCAAGGAGGACGACCTGCGTTTTTGTGGTTTTGAGTTTGGGCGCGAGGAGAAGGGCGTCCGGCTGCATCAGGAATCTTACACCAAGGAGCTGATCGAAAGGCATGAGGTGGCAATGCCAGGGACGTTGGCAGGGGTAGCTATGCCTGAGGAGGAGGAGACGGCTGATGCCGAGAGCGTCAAGGCAGCACAGGTGATAACCGGAGAGTTCCTCTGGCTTTTGGAGATGTGGCATATGCAGTGGCGATCATGAGCCAGTGGGCGACTAAAAGACCTCGGGGTGTGGTGAAGATTGGTGAGAAGGTGCTGAAGTACCTGTACAAAACGATGAGTGATGGTTTGCTCTATGAGAGGCTGCAAGGAGGTGATCATGGGCCAGAAGGGCAACAGCACCGAGAAAGGAAGCGCCTGGCGGTGGAGCGCTATAGCGACGCGTCGTTCGGGGCCCACGAATGCAAGAGCATGACGGGCTTGGCGGTCTACTACTCCGGGTGCCCGGTGTTTTGGCTGACTTCCAGGCAGCCATGTATTGCTTTGAGCACAGCGGAGAGCGAGCTGGCGGCCATGATTGAGACGTGGACAGCACTGCGTGGAGTTGGGGGGTTGGCCGAAGAGCTTGAGGAACAACCGATGGAGTTGCGGCTCTACAGCGACAGCAGTGCGGCGCTTGCCATTGTGCATGGCAATTCAGGGAGCTGGAGGACGCGGCACTTGCGAATCCGGGCTTCGGCGCTGACAGAGGCGGAGAAGGCCAAGGAGGTGGCGTTGCAGCACGTGCCGGGTCAATCCTTAGTGGCGGATGGCTTCACGAAGCAGCTGGGGATTTCGCCATTTCAGCGGTTCAAGGAGGCGTTGCGAATGGAGCGTGGTGAGAAGCAGAAGAAGAAGGAGAAGGAGGAAGACATCAAGGTGAGGTCCTTGAAAGTTGGGTCCGTGGCCTAAGGAAATTCATGAGGCCACACGCATTGTGGATGACGAGGGCAACAAGCTGGTGGACCTGCTGATGTTGCTGCTTGTGGTGGGTGTGGTGGTGGTAGTGAACCTCATGGGCTCGGTCGGGAAGTGGGCATTCCGGAAGGTCGTCGGGAGTGGAGGAGAGAGAGCAGTGCCTGTGCGAGAAAGGAGGACTGAAGGGGCTGCAAACCTCAGGTCTTTGCGGGTGCGAAGAGGGTCCGGCGGGTGGAGAAGATCCGGATGACCCTGGAGATCAGCCAGAGATGGGGTCGGTAGAAGGTGAGGAAGAAGATTATTGGGAGGTGGAGTTTCGGGGTGGACACTTGGAGCTGGTACGGGTGCATTTGGAGCCTCGATGGGAAGCTTTTGTTCCGCATCCCCGACATCTACCCCGAGCAGATTGAGGATGATCGGATCACGGAGGTAAACTACGTGAGGGAAGCTCGGGGGCGCGAGCGAGTGGTAGACAATTGGAGAGAAGTCGGAGTTTGGATGCGAGAGGCGCCCTGGACGGGTAGCACCAGTTTCCGGATGGAAGCGCGCCTGGAAAAAGGCAAGGGGAAGGGACGTGGAGGAAAAGATCAGGGTGGAGGACAAGTGGACAGGTCAAGCTCTAGAAGGGGGCCATATGATCCATCGGGATCTTCATCCGGAGCATCTCCTTCGGTGCCTTCAGCTTCATCCGGGAGTATTGGTACGGGTTTGTTGCCAACGGGAGGGACTTCGGGAAGCTACTTCGGCAATCAGTAAGGCTGGTAATGGGAAGGAAAAGGGGACTACATGGAGGACGTGCTCGCGGGCAGGTTCGTGCGGCGAGGATCACCCTTCTTCAGGGACACCAGCTACGGCATCGGGCGCGGCAGGAAGTATTGCGACGGCAAGGCGGGGGACATCGGCTATGTCGCGAGCAGAGGGAGCTGTCACGCCGGGCGAAGCGTCCTTGTTGGCTGAGCAGAAGGGCGAGTTGGGTTGGAGGTGCTGGACAAAGTATGAGGACGCTGCTGGAGGCAGTGGACGGTGGAGTGGGAGAGTTGCTGGGGGCAGAGGGGCTTGAGAAGATGCTGCTTTGTTTTCCTGGTGGAGAACGAGATCTCTGGCGTCAGATGATGACTCCAGGAGGCCAAGTGGTTGGGGTGCAGATCCACAACAAGGTCCGGCGGAAGCTTTTCGACACCGAACGGTGTGGCTGGCAGAAGAGACGCTGGACGTTTGGTTGGACCATAGCCGGGATGAAGCCTTGGATTGTGGTCGGTGAGAGAAAGGGGAGGCGAGAGCCTTTCGAGCACGAGGAGTGGAAGGGCTACAGCGTCTTCTTGCTGACCCAGGTGGAGCGATAGGGCGAGGCTTGGGCCGGACGGCTCATTAATTTTGGTCTTTGTGGCCGGTGCCCTCGACAACGAGGGGGAGCCCAGAAGTTCAGAAGCATGGCTTGACGCAAGCCTTTTGTGCCCAAGAAAATAGAGCGGAGCTCTAGGACTTTCTCAGGATCGGACCTGGCACCCTACAGTTGAGCTCATTTTTGATTTCGGTTTACGTCTCGCTCTTCGCTGTCCGGGAATCGGGGGCCGGGACCGAAAACGGTCACCCGCACCTTGTTTGAGCGCGAAGGAGCATCGCCATATTTGCCGTTTTAACAAAGCCGAAGAAAACTTAAAGGAGCTGAAAGGCAATCATGGACTCATTTCAGATTTCACAGGTCTCAGGAACAAGGGTTCAAACTTGCCCGTGCTTTCCTGAGTTACTGTAGACTCTCCGTGTTCCTGCCTTGCGATCTTCATGGCTTCACTTGCCAAGTGAACCCCTTCCCCAACTATCTTGTCATCAACTATGGGTCTCTTTCCGATTTGGGAAGTAGCCCTTCCTTTCTTTCCGCTCGCTCGGGCGGTTTAATCGGAGCAGGTACTTTCGCATCAGCACCAAGCAGAAACCGCCTGGGGCCACTGCCGCCGCTTCGAAGGCCGGCCGAAGCCAAAGCTTTGCAGGCGCAGGCGGTCCACCAGTTGCATCAAAGTGGGGCTGGGATATTCCTTGCCGTTGGTCACGAAATAGGCAGCTGCGATAGGCAGCCGTGCAGGGGGATCGATATAGGCGGTAGGCCAAGTTGCCGTTGCTCTTGTTGGACTTGGAAGTACCAGCAGGGGTAGACAGCTTTTGAGGTAATGGTTTGATCAGTTGTCTAGTTCCCCTTCCCATATGCTCACTTTTCGGGAGGGCACATTGCATACCAGAATTCCCGAGCTGCGCCCAGTGGAGATGTCGGATCTGCGCCTCGAACTCCAGAAGATGAAGGCCGGTGCAGTTGCAGAGAAATTTTCAGAGGGGGGACACAACAAATGGCAGTTGTCCTTGTGTGGTTTTCCTTGGAAACCATCAAAAACAGGTAACTCAGAAAAGCACCCACCCATGTGTTTCCGCAGGGGGGAATGGGCCAGAGTTCCATCAGAGGTATCATTTGTTATACTGGACTCGCATGCGGGAATGGAGGGCCGTTTGCTATCTCTGGCTTCACTCTTCTTCGGGATCCTTTAGCTTGATTTTTCCAGATCTGGCTAGCACTTGCTTCTTTGGCCCTCCCATCTTCAAAACCATGTGATTGATCAGTTCGGATATTCTCTATCACGGAAAGCAGGGCTCTTGCTTCTTTCGCTCCTTTCTGAAGAGCTTGCCTCGAGAACTGCGCAGCTTGGCGCGGAAGCTTTATGGGGGAGTGGGTGGCAGGTGGGCACATATTGCCAAAAAGTTGTAGGAAACAAAAATGGTGCAGCACGACAGACAGAGGGCTTGCTGTCCGAAAACAGCGTGCTGGCGTTCCTGAGGCGAAAGGCACCCTGAGATGGTGGGCTTGCAATGCAGGTGCCCTCATGGAATACCTACGCAGTTCCCCGTGACTAGAAGAAGGATTCAGGATGCACAACGAAGCGCCCGAACTTAAGATATGTCCGCATCAACCCTTTGCTTGCCCCCGTCCTTGCCACAAAGTGCAATTGATGCTCAAGGGAGTCGCTGCAGCAAGTGATCCTTGACAGGGTCCTCGACCATAACATGTTTGGCATTTCATGTTGACCCCATATTAAACAACTCCAGTTTGCTATAGGGGGAATCCCTGAGTTAGTGCGGGATCAGACCACTTTTGGATTAGCCCGCTTCAGGCGGAGGCGCAGGACGAGTCCAAGGCGAAGCAGGCGAGACGAGCACCACTTCTTTGGTTGGCACCCTCTTTCTTTAATTGTTTTGTGGTGGCAAGACATCGTGTTTCACTTCAATGTACTTTCGGGCAAGTGGGCGACAAGTTTCTCTTGTTTGTGGGAGCTGTGACCTCGCCCATGAGGAAGGCAGTCTTTGAAAGTATGCAACCAAACAATATATGTCCCATCATCAATTTTGACCCTGCCTTGCAGCCAGTCAAAAGCGCCCAACTTGGAGTGCATTCAGTGCGGCGTGGTTGTGTTGCCGCGCCAAATAGGCCTTGCAGGGCACAAGCTCGGAAGAGGCGTTTGTGAAAGTAGGTGTGAGAAAGCATGCGTCAGCTATTTTGGGTGTTTTGTTCTCGTGGTATTGTGAGCGAGGCTGTAGGTTGCCCCATGCCCATACGCGCCCCTGCAGGAGGCTCAGCGGCAGCTCGGCAGCTGATTCCATGGGCAAATCCTGGGCAGTTGGTTTTCCTTCGTGACCCTGGTGGCAGGCTTCCGCTTGGAAGTCCGCTCGAAAGCTGTTTGGGAGCTTCGTCCTTGCTCTTTCTCACGGCCAATTGGCTGCTCCTCTCGCCAGTCTCAGGATCCAGCGGGAGCTTCTGCGGAAAGTGCGGCAGATCGAGCAGCGCTGCTTGGTGCAAAGGAGGACCAACGTTGCATGGCGCATGGCACATCGATGCATTGGGGACCACTGTTTTTGAGAAAACCCCGAGGTTTCTACATTTGCAAAAAGTGATTTCGTGCAGCTCGAAACCGTGGAGTTTTACTGTATTTGAAGACAGTTGCGGGGGAGGGGTCAACTTCAATGGCTGCACAGGGCTGGGCTTTGATGCAAGCCGAACTTGCCAAGTTTGGAGCTCGAGGCGGCAACCTACATGTGAAGCTCCAGAGTGTGGGGCTCAGCTGGCCTTGGCTTGGGGGGATGCATGGGTTGCCCCGACATCCGTCACCCCTTCCGGAAGACCGTTTGGAGGGCGGCAGTGGGGGTGGTCAGGAACTCTTTCCGTCATCCACTGGGTAGTGGCCCAGAGGAAACTCAAGGCCCATTGCAGATGGCAGATAAGGCGGTGGAGCGCAGTGACTATTGATAGTGCTGTTGTTGTGACTTGATTTACACATCCAAGTGTTTCTCCCACTGCAAAGTGCATACTGCCAATGTGAGATTGTCAATCATGGAAGATATAGCCCTGGAGCGAGGCGTCCAGCTGTGGGAAGAGAGAAAAAGAGAGAGAGAGAGAGAGAGAGAGACAGAGAGAAAGAGCGGAAAAGCAAAGCAGCATGCCAGGGGACTGCTGCGGTTTGAGTCCCCTAAAACGAACCAATACCAGCCAGCTTGTGGCAGCAAAAAGAGACATAAGTTCAAATACAACATCCTCTCTCCGTCTCTCTCTCTCTGGCTCTCTCTCTGTCTCTGTCTCTGTCTCTGTCTCTGTCTCTGTCTCTCTCTCTCTCTCACTGGATTCAAATAGTCCGATGATTTTGAGCTTTAGAGTCTGCCCGGGACCTCCCCTCAAGGTTCATGCTTCAGATATCCACCGAGGCCCTTCGTTCCTTGTTGAGAGGGGTATCCCTTTGAACTCAACTACCAACCAACGGGTGCAGGAGGGGTGGTAGTACGACTCGTGCACGGCTTCCATTGTAGGCGGCGATGTGGAGGTGGTGCAGGGGCCGCTTGGTGAACCGAGCAGAGTAGGTAGCTTGAAACCTGCCCGCAGCTTCGGAACACTGCTAACTGTTCTCGGTTTCGCCTTTCCCATTGCACGTTTGGGTTTCATTTTGAGCTTGAACCAGACACACACACACGCACATACTTCCGGGATGCACGGTATTTTTCAGGGGGCCGCCTCAGCCTGGTCAATATCTGTTTTGCAAAGGGCCCGCGTAACGACAGCTTTGCCAGCGAGCTCCAACCAGCCTGTGCCGGCCAACGTATATTGTGACAGGCTTTCAAAGATGTCCTGGCCGGCCCGCAAAGTTGGGACCCGATCCTGCTTTCGGCCCGGTGAGATATGCTATGCACATAGAGGTATTAATGGTATCAAGTAGTATACATATGTTCGACATCCCACAGAGGTTAAGATGAGTGCATACTTGACTTTTCTGCAGTTTCGGCTTGAGACTTGATGTGGTACACTCTTTTTGGGAGTGTGATGGTGCGCATTTTGCCGAGCCCTCGAGCGATTTCAAGCAAACCTGCACAGACTCGGAATGGTCCGCGCCATTCAAACGCGGGAGCTCCAAGTTCGGGCATCTGAAACTTGAACTTGAAAAACATCTTGAAGCGCTGCAACTGTTGGACGCCAACTCACGGCCCGAACCCCCAAAGGCCCACGCCATCAATCAGGCCACCTACTTCTTGTCTTTGCCCTTGGACGCTCCTTGCTGTTCTCTAATCTGCGCCAACCGCTTCTCCACCATTTCGCAGAGCAAAGGCACTTTGAGACGTAACATGCTTGCCGATTTAAGGTGGAAGGGTGTCGCCATTCTGGCTTCAAGACCCTTCTTGATGAACATGTGATAGATTTCAGTCGGTGGAGGCAAATGTGAATGGCAAGATCTATTTTGGCTACACCAGATGAGCTGGCAGGACTTGGCACGATTGGAGATGTTCAAGTTTGGGCCGGGGCTCCGACATCTCTTTGGCAAATAGCCAATACATCCCTTGGCCAAGTGCCATCACTGCGAGTTCTTGCCCACACACCATCGGAGTTCTATCGCTCTATGCTGTCAGTCATGCTCTCAACGTGAAGCTGGGTCATAGTTGGGACCCCCAACAGCGCCAACTCCATCCGTTGCGCGATGGCCCGAACGTGCGGTTATGAGCTCCAGAATCAGCCACCTTTTGGTCACGAAAGTGCTGCGCCTGCCACGAAATCTGCACTAGACCTGGCATGGCTGCAAATTGCTGCGCCTGCCACGAAATCTGCACCTCAGGTTGCCAAAGTGCTTTGCCTGCCACGCGATTTGCGCCTCCGAAAACAGACCGTGGCGAGACCGTGGCGAGACCGTGGCGAGACGGTGGCCCTGTGCGCAAAACAGGGCTACTCTTTGTGTGTTTTGCATGTGGGTAACTCCACTTTTCGTATACGGAAGTTTTCTAAATAGACTTCCTTTGAATAACTAGGGTGTCCAGACGCACATACCCGTACAAACAAGCGGTGAGACGCATACACATTTACACACAAACACATACAGCAATCTTTATGTACGCGCATGTGCGCACACACGTGTACACACACACACATACATATGCGCGACACATATGCGCGCGTGCACATGTAGAATGTTGTCATGTCTATATTACATGTAAACATTCATGTGTACATATGTTCCCGACGCACATATCGCGATTTGCGCGCTTAGGTCTGTATCTGAATCTATATCGATATCTACATCTACATGTGTATCTGTATGTATCGATATCTACTTGTCTATACGTAGATGCGTAGGCACGTGCACATGTGCACATATGCACATATACAAATTCTACACAAACAGGCGCACATTCAATACATACACACACCTCGCATTTTGCCGCCTTTGCCGATGCTCCAGATGATTGAGTGCAGCCGTGTCTATATCCCAGTGTTGCGAAGACGATGACGCAGCAACGATGGATAGAGCCGCACGAGGGTAAAGCTCTTCACCCGGAACTCCAAAAGTACCACGCATCGTGTAGAGGGAAACTGGAAGGAAAACGGCCTTTTGCAGTATTGAAAGAAGCGAGCGTTTTGGAATATTATAGTCGTCCTAAACGCTCCACGCCTACAACCCAAGGTTGGACTTTGTGGCCAAGAAGAATGACGCCACCGCCGCCCAGTTGAGCGATGCCGGGGCAGGCGAGTGGCCGAGCCTGTGGAAGCGAGCCCCTGACGCATTCCTATACTGGTGTGCTGTTGGTTTAGGGAGGACATGGGGGAGTCTGCCCAAGTTTCCGATGAAAATTGGGGGACCTACAATCGCCCGTCTACGACGTGATTAAGCTTTGGTGCAGAAGGCTCCGTGCGCAGGCCCAAGCAAATAGAAACAGTTAAGGTAAAATCACATGTTGACGCAGGGGCTATGTGCGATAGCTTAGCCAAGTGTGAGAATGCAGTGGCTGATGTTGCTGCAAAGCGAGCGCTTTCAATGCAGCAGGAATCCATCAGCGCGCTGGCTGCAATTTGCCTCGCTGCCAAGAAAGAAAATCAGAGAAATCCATTTGGTTTGAGGGGTATGGAAGTAGGGAGCATAAGAAAACTAGAAAAAATGTATACAAAAAATAAATAAAAAAAAGAACAAATCTGGCTGAGGAAGCGGATCGTGGTCCATTGGCACGTGCACACCCAGACAGATTTAACTTGAATCTTACACCTTTGCCTTGCCATGCCGCTTGGACCCGCTTGGCCGCAGGAAAACGGCTGTAGCAGATACGGTTGCCGCAGGTTGGTGCAGGCGATGATATCCACAGTAGTTACGATGATGCAGCCTGATGCAGGCACCCAAATACAGACATTCTCTAAAGCCGCCCTAGAGGCGGCCAGACACTTTGATCCACGCATTCTTACACTTGAATTCTTTGCAAAACCGCATTCAGTAGAATCGCTGATGTATTTCGGCTATCTCGCTAGGCAATCCGGCTTCTTTGTCCAACCGGATTTCACACTTGGTTTCACTCTTGATGCTGACCATCGCACGAGAGAACAACTTGCAAAATCGTCCAATTGGACAGTGCAGTTTTGCATTCTATTTGGCCATTTTAGTATTTGACTTCCTTCAAGGACAGGTATGTGAGATGGAACAGAACCTCCGATGTCTTCTTTGAGAGAACGAGTCGTTTTGTCCGGACCTGACACAAGGTAGACATGTTTGGAGCAAGCAACCTTGCTTTGGATCTTGGCACCTGGCACCTTCGATGAAAGACCTTGGGCCCAGACACGCAATCGCTCCAAGGACATACTATTTAGCTTAAATTATCTTGGATATCAACGAGCCATGTCTGTCTGGAAATGATTTGCGCAAGCACCTTGGTTTACCACGATTGGCGCGGTTTTTATTCCAGCAAACACCACCTTACCTGTTGACTTGGCGAACTTTCAAGGCTTTTGTTGGCAGTTTGTCTCCGTCATTTTAGCCAAGGTCTCAAACGCAAATCCGGTCAATTCAGCAGACCAGTGGCAACAGTAGTGGAGAAACCTGAATTTGGTAGATAGAGCAAGTAAGTAACATGCCCTTTGGCATTCGTGAGGCAACTTCCGCCGTTCTTATTTGGCAAACTTAGTGAAGAGCGAGAATCTTCCCAGAGCGGAGCGGCCCTTGAAGGGCGTTTCCTCGCAGGCGCCCGTGCCATGGCGGACCTGAAAGAGCTCCAGGAACTTTTGGATGCTCCCATGGCCCGGGTGCTCGGGTGCTCGGGTGCCGGGTTGGTGACTCTCGGGTGAGGTAAAGCCAGCTTTAGCAGGGAGGGGTTTGAGCCTGGTGACTTTCAGAGCAGCCAGGGCGGGGGTGAGCTGATTTGTCACGTGTTTGTGCGCGGCAAAGTTGCTACTGAACGGTGTTGCCCGAATGATGGATTCGACACGTCTATTTCAGATGAGGAGGTTATCCCCAACAAGTGCAACCAAACAGACAACCTCTAAGCAGATGTTCTTTTACTCGAGAAGGTGTTGCATTCCTCTGAGTTCACGGCTGGCTAGTCTCTAGACTTTGCAGTTTGTGATTTGAAGCTCCAGAGTGATCGTTCCCGTCCGGAAAATCGACAGCTGCCTATTTAGGGGGGTTTCCATGTTTGAGCTGCACAAGGGAAGACCCCAAGAGTGGGTCAGCAGTTCGGTGACTGGATTTTCTAAGTTCTCTTTGCCGGGATGGCATCCGGCGAGGCTTAGCTCAATATCCGAAGCAAAAGCCCAAGCAACTCAGCAAGCAACTGTGTTGCTGTGACATAGGCAAATCTGCAGACAACCGCTATTTATCTTTGCCTTTCTCACAATTCGCTGTAGATGTTCCTATCCCTCGGTTTCCTGACTGTGCGTGTGGGCTAGCTGCCTTATTCCGAGGTCATCGAAGGCTGGATCCTGGGGCTTGGGAGGTTGGCTTAGGGATCACCCGAATGGTTGGATGACTAGAAGACGTGGTTGCTTGTTGGCGCGGACGTGGTCATGAAGCCAGTAGTCAGATGATCATGACGCATCATTCCCCTAAGAACTCTCGACTGTAAAACTTTTAGCTGTAAGCAGCTGCAAGCAATTTGGGCGAATTGGTGCAACCTGATGATGGTTCGTATTTTGGTTTTTGAATCTGGCACATACACTCTGGGGCAAATTATGGTGGGTGAAATGAGCACACCCCTGATGAAGGCCCCGTATTCCGGGATTACTTATGTCCAAACGTTGCAATTGCCCAGATACACATCTTGGTCATTTGGCGCACATTGATATCATACCATATCATGTCATACCATATCATATCGTATCATATCATATCTTATCTCATTGGGGCCGCTTCGTAGGCCATGTCAAGGGCGGCAACAACAAGCACTGGCAAACCGTCGCGGAGAACCGGGCCAAGCTCATCCAAAGCCGGACTCCCAAGTGCGACAGAAAGGCTGCTGGCTTGTCGGAAACCAAGTTTGTCTCAAAGCAGCAGGGGAACCCAACATTTGCGGTTTCCTCGCTGTTCGACCACACTCTGAAACTCAACTGAGCGTTTTGGCGGGAAAGAGCGGAGCCAAACATCGGGACGTATTCCAAATGCTAGTTGGTGCCAAAATGGTTTGGTGAGTCTATTTGATGTCGGTTGACCCGCTTTCGATCTGAGCTGGATTGCAGGAAGTTGAGACATACCGAACCACTCTTGGCAAGTAGCGTGATCCTGGATGTTTTTCCTTTTCCTGAAAGCACTCACCAAACGGGTAGCGCAAGACTGACATCTGCATTGCCAGCCGGCCCCATGAGATCTCCCAGGCGAGCTGATCAAGCGAGGCCTCCGGCCCGAGGATCTGGCCACCAAAGGTGCGGGCGGGACTCGGGCCGGGTGCGGAGGCGTCTTCTCCATGAACCAAAAGGAAACCCACCGGTTGGTTTCCCTTTCCGTTTTGGAACCCCAAACCCCCGAAAGAAACAATAGCACACACCCAAATCCTTTGGAAACCCTTGCTCCGGAAAGTCCAGCTTTGGCCACCCCCGCAATAAATCAGCTAAGCTCCCACACATGCCCCACACATTAGCAGAACGAACCTCTTTGAAAGCAACCAGTGAGGCAAGGAAGTGCAAGACTCTTGATTGGAAATCAGTTGCACTTGCCATGGTTTCACGGGGGTTGATTGCCGGAACCTTTTCATCCCGTGAGGCCTTGGGGTTGGAATAGCAGGCATTTGTTGAGGTGTTGTGACTGTGTCAGACTGGTTTTGTGCCATGGCTGATCAGCAAGGCCTGCCTGGCAACAAAGGGGTCAACCGCCCCTGTGCAGCTTGGCTGCAGAGGATCCTGGCGCAGCAAAGCGCGGCGGGTTTGTCCGGCTTGCAATCTGGGTTTTCATCCTGGCAAGTCCTTAGCTGCGAAAACATCATTCCAACATGAAACCAGTGTTTATCACTTGTATTCATTTCCCCCACCCAACCCTGGTTTGACAACTTCCACAACAGAATGCCGTTTGACGTCAAGCACTGGTTGGGAAGACTTGTCGGGGGACTACCCGCATCGACGTTGGCCTGGGATTTTTCCATTTCTTTGAGGGTACCCTTGTTGTCTGTAGAGGGAAACCAACAGGCAACCCATTTATTCGCACGTTTTGAGACACTTATATGTGTTGACGAGTGAAACAGACAGCACTCACTCGGAGCAGTGGATCAAAATGTGACACAGCCACTCTGTTGTAGACGGTGCAACGGGCTGCCGACATTGCTGGGATGAAGAGAGCGCGTAGCCAACTTCATGTTTCATTCCGTGTTGTTCCTTAGTCTGGATCGATTGGGACGCACTCCCTGATTCAACACCACCGTGGATTGACCTAGGGTCCAGCCGTTTGCTGTGACGACGTTTGCAGCAACAGTCTAGTGAGGTGCCGGCTATCTTTTGGCCTTTCAATAGCAGTCAGGCCATTAGGTTGATCATGTCACATTTTGTCTTGCCATCACTTCGCTAAGCTTGCCTGTTTCAATCACACATGGCATGGCTGAGTGCTAAGTTGTGGCATGTGGCAGCAAGTGTTGGCAAAAGACCTTTGTAGTAGAAAACATTGTTTCTTGTTGGGATTTTTCCATTTTAGGTTCTGATTTTGGCTTGGTGAATTCTTCTAGTTTGCCTCATACCCTCACGGACTGGGCGGGACCGAGCTTAATCGCTGGCTTAGCCATGTCCTTGCCTGAGGTCATGGTGCGAGTTGCCATACCTCAGGAATGATACGCCTTTTGCTGCGTAGAACAAATGCTCCGGCTGGTGGCTCAATGTGAGCAGCTCAGGGACGGGGCTTGAGTGTTTTCCTTGCTCTTTTTAGACGGGCTCATGTAACACCATCGCACCGTGAATCATACCTTTTGAGTCTAGGAAAGAGAGAGCCTTTGCCTAGCTTTGTTTGATGGGTCTTGTTTGGAGCTGCGAGCTGGCGCATGTCGCCCGGGCCGCCTGCGCGGAGATGAGTCAATTCCATGTCAACCATTCTTGAGCAACTCAAATGGCCCGATTCAGCAGCTACGACTCAGGAACCAAAAAGTCCGACTCAGGAACTAAACAAGTCCGATTCAGCAACTAGATCTCAGAACCTAAATACCCGCTTCAGCGGCTAAAATGCAGGCACGAGCTTTTTTGGCAATAATTTAGGTAACTGCAACACAGCAAGTGCTTTTGGACCTTGACCATTATCCGATCTTCGCTAGACGAGCACACAGCTTTGCTTTGCGGATGATATCATGAATGATGTACCCCCGCTTTTTGAAAGTTGCTTTGGGAGATGGCTGGGTCTGCTTCAGGGTTGTTCCCTTGTTTTTTGGTGGTCTAGCCCTCTCGGAGAAAGGGTTTTTCGTTTTGGAGGATTTGTTAGTTTCCGAAGAAGGCCTTTCTAGTTTCCGAATCAGGGCTTGGTAGATTCCCAGTAAGCCTGTTTTAGTTTCCGAAGAAGGCTTTTTGGTTTTGGAATCAGGCTGTTGTAGTTTTAGTTTCCGAAGAATGCCAAGTAGTTTCCGAAGTTTTCCGTTTGATTCCGTAGAAGACCGTTTGATTTCCGAGTAAAATCTTTACCGTGCGGAGACGCAGCATTATCCTCTGATGAGCACCCTGGACTAAATGAACACAAGCTTTGGTACATGTTTTGCTTGTCCATTTTGTACATCATTGACAATCGTTTTCCTTTCTCAAAGCAAACAAGAGAAAGGTTTTAATTGGCTGACGGTGCATCTCGCATGACACGTCGGGAACTTTGCTGTAGCTCATATTTGCAGCTCGTTTCCACTAGATCTGGGCGAGCGTGTGAAGCAAGTGCCGCGAAAAGCGTGGCCGTCACGCACGCTATCTGTAAGGGCTGAAACTCTCACGGCCTTGCAGGAGAAACATAGCGCTTGCGTTGTTTTCCATGAGCCTCCGATGCCACCCCACCTGGATTCCAGAGGGACAACAAGTGCTACCTTCAAGGCCCCGCTTTTCGCTTTGCAGATCCTAACGTTCATTTTCCGATGCTGCTTGTGACAGGATGTGTTTGCTGAAGGATAGGTGATTGTTAGGCGCACGCCCGCTCTGAAAACCGCGCCCAAATCTCAGCGCTCGAAGCACTGCAAGATGTTCTCCAATGAACACTTCCGCAAGGGAGCTGCGTGTCGTTTTCCTGCTGGGCCCTTTCCCTCTCACCTGTTGCCAGTGCAAGATTGCCAGGTGTCCAGTTGTGTGTACTCAGAACTGAGATGACCCTCACAGGATGGCTAGATCAGATTGTGGGAGCATGTTGGTTACCAAGCTTTATTCGTTGTTAGCTGCTTCCCCCAGAGATTATTGGCTTCATCATCAGTGCTTAGCATGACTATGGCTGGGACGCCTGTCGAACGGGCCCATTGCCACCCGTTTTCGGAGGTGCCTTATTTTCCACACGGAGGTGAGTTGTGGCATGCTTGGCGCTGCAAGGGTATGTCATGAATTCCCGGATGCGCGCCGCACCGCCTTAGGCTTTTGCGATTAAGAGGGAGTCATAGTGAAGAAAGACATCCAGCCGCTGCAGAGCCTGACTTCTAGTCAATACTTCCTCTTCGTTTCCACCGGCTTTCCCGACTTGTTTCCAAAGATGGCGCGGCAGCAGAGGGTGATCTCCGCCGTCCGCGCTCTCAGTGACCAATTGCCTGCACAGATGATAAACCCACCTCAGGATAAAACGAGCGCTGGTCCCTATGATGAGAAAACCTTTTACTAGTGGATTGATAAATCAGCTCTGGCCGTTGTGGCAAGCGTTGCGGACGGAAGCTGTGTTAGTGGAAGGAATTGTGTGGTTGACTTGCTGTGACAGTCTAGATTGAGAGGTGATCATCCCAAGCCAAGCTAAACCAAGAGCAAGATCAAGGGATTTACTGGAAAACGAACAGGTTGCATTTGTTCCCAGTTCCTTTACCAAAGGCATGTTGGTTGCCGGATTTTTCGGGTAGCTTTTGCGCCACAGGTCTTGCTTTCAGCTTTTGCGGCCTGGCCGGGGATCCTACAAGCCGATCTATCACGAGCTGCTCACATGGGTCAGTGGTCTTGGCCGGAGCCATCATCCTATGTGAGATCTTTCATGCCATGGCTGGCTAGTCAACACTTGATACTCAATCAGGACTCTGTGTGTGTGTTTTTTGTTTAGGAAAAGAGGTAATCAGGCCCATCCTTGTACGACCGGGCACAGCTCAACACACCTGGCCCAAAACTGACAATTTCTCGTCTGATTCCAAGAGGGAACCCATGGCCACACACCCCTTTCATCCACCAGAAGGGTCAAAATGTCCCAAGGCTCTCGATCAGATGATGAATCACGAAGGGTCAAGAAAAGGTTAGACAGGATTTCTTAGACTTACCATATTTACATCAGTCAAATATGGCATTGACATGTCCAGCAAGCCAACATGTGCGTGTTGATGCCATGTTGGAAGGGGAAATCTGACGATACCTTTTGAGAGAAATCATGCTTAAGCTTTCAAGGCCTGTTGCGGGATTCATCATTCCAATCTCGTCGTTGGCTTGCGATTTGAATGTGATTCCAGGGCCTTTTTTTGGTTCCCCAGAAACGAACTGCAACCCAAGAACCACTGGAATGCATGAACCACTCCCATCTGCCTAAGTCCTTTCAGAGGTAAGCAATCCCGGAACCCGGGGTGTTGAACTGCCACACAACCCAAATGTTTTGCTTTCGGACGCCCAGGTCTTTCAGCACCGTCTTCGTGGGCCAGCAGTCCAAGCGTGGCCCAGCTGAGAGTAGGGGGACCGAACCCGCGAAATCGGAGGAACAGTTGCAACGTCAGAAACACTAGAAAGGGGCATCGCCGTGTGGGGGTAATTATTATGCAATCGCCTTGAACCTCAGCGCCTTCCAAGACTTTTGTGGGACAGTGAAGGGGACTACCCTCATTACTGTTTTGCCGGGCTGATATTTGGAAGGACTGCAACAGGCAGCAGGCCATTGTGTCCCGCGGCAAATGGTCAATGGTGGCGGGGTTGGTGCTTGCATCAGGGATTGTGCATCGGGTGTGTGAACGCGTGGTGCCCCTTTCCAGGCCTTTATCCCATGCGCATGCTGTGTTCTTTGCCGATCCTTTTTTTGTTCATTGTCGATGCCTTAATTAATTGGCATCATTTTTTTTGTTTTTGATGCAATCACCGGTTTGTGTGCAGGTTGTGGCACAGACTGTGACTGACTCTCCAGTTATGCACGTGCTAATTTATGAGGGGAGGGCTTGCCCTTCCAGTGAGCCAACCAAAACCGCGCCATGTCCAACGGTCGTTCGTCAAAACAGCTGCATGGCTGCCGGCTACTCATTTTCCCAAATCCCAAACACTCAGCTTCAACATGCATGCCAATTGTTATGCCAATATTGCTGTATTCTTTGGATTGCTAGTGTCTCACAAAGAAGAGAGATGTTCAGCTGATTTGTGCAAGTTGTGTCGAGTTCAGGTAGCAAAATCCGAGGCATCCCGAAGCAGTTGACCTTCCCAGACAGACCGCATCAGGTTCTGAGCCGCCCAAGGTCATCCGCTATGCTCCGCAACTTGGTTTGGCCAGGCAGACGTTTTCTTGATGTGTTTTCTCTGCCACTGTCTGTCATGCTCCCTGCCGTGTCTTCGCTGCCCGTGTGTCCAATGAAGAGTTTGAGTTCCCGCTTGCGAGCTTGGGTAAAGCTGGACCATGCCTAAGGAACCATCCGTCTCAGATGTTTCCGCCTGGCTTCGCTGCGCCCCCCACGGCGCCTGTGAACAACGCGGGCCCAGCAATGGCGGGGGTGGCCCCGCCTGCGGGTGGACCAGGGGGCCAGCCTCGCCTGCCGCCAGTGCCCATGCCATTTGGCCCGGGCCTCGATGCAAGGACTCACTCATTCTTCCATGTCCATTGGGTTAGATAATTCTCGTTGCTTGGCTTTGAATGTGCTGTGTTTGGTTGCGTTTGCTTGTCTGTTCGCTTGCGTGCTTGTGCGTGCTTGTTGATCCCATTTGTTCCTTTGCGCCCGCATTCCTTCATCGTTTACTCGTTGTTGGTTGCTGGTTCGTGTGAAGTGTTGGTGATGCTCCCGGGTGTCATTTGCGCGTGATTTTGTATGTTTGTGCTACTTTAAACATTATGTTTTTTGGTTGTGTGTGTTTGTTTGTTTGTTTGTTTGTTTGTTTGTTTGTTTGTTTGTTTGTTTGAATGTTTGAATGTTTGTTTGTTTTGATTGTTGTGTTTGTTTGTTGGTTGTGTTTGTTTGTTGTGTGGTGTTTGTTTGCTTGCTTGCTTGCTTGCTTGTTTGTTTGTTTGTTTGTTTGTTTGTTTGTTTGTTTGAATGTTTGTTTGTTGTGGTTGTTTGTGTGTCGTGTTTGTTTGTTGTGTTGTGTTGTGTTGTGTTGTGTTGTGTTGGTTGGTTGGTTTGTTTGTTTGTTTGTTTGTTTGCTTTGTTTGTTTGCTTTGTTTGTTTGCTTTGTTTGTTTGTTTGTTTGTTTGTTTGTTTGTTTGGTTGTGTCTTTGTGTCTTTGTTTTTGAGTTTCTTTGCTTCTTTGCTTTTTTTTTTTTCTGGCCTTGCTAGTTTGCTTGCTTGCTTTCTTGCTCGTTTGTTCTTCTCCCGACAGGCTCGGGGTTGCTAGATTTTAAGTGACATCCGACCCCGCAACGGGATCGCCCGCCGGCGGACAGAGCCTGTGACAGGATGCGACAGACAGCTGCCACAGAGCTTGTGACAGAACCTGTGACAAACCTGCGACAAAGCCTGTGACAGACGACAGCTCAAAGCCTGAGGCTCTTGTGCCCTGCTTGCTGCCAGAGCAGCCACCGGCTAGCTTCACAGAGCAGGATGTTAAGAACGCTTGCAGAGCGGGAGAAAGCGTGTTGTATCTTAGGTGGAGATCGCTCGAAGTACAGTTGTTTGTTTGTTTGTTTGCTTGCTTGTGTGTTTTCTTGCTTGCTTGCTTGCTTGCCTGCCTGCCTGCCTGCCTGCCTGCTTGTTTGTCTGCTTTTTGTTTGCTTTGAATTTCGCCGTTTGTTTGTTCGTTTGTTTGCGCGTCTTTGCTTTGGTTGTTTGCGTCGCTTGCCTGCTTGTTGGCAGCTTTTCCTGCCGCTTGCGCTTGCGTGGTCTGCTTTGTTGATACAGTAATAGCTTTGAGTTGCCCGCTGGTATATGCGCAGCGCGACTCGGGCAAAGAGATGCGTTACTTCTGCAAGCGGACAGTGTCCATCCACCCAACGTGGTTGTCGTGTCTTTCCTGGCAGGCCTTGATGCGTTGAACGCGTTGAGTCGGCAGAGAGTTGGGCCCGGATTGGCAAGAACTGGTCAAATCAGTGAGTGGTTTTCAAGGGTGGTGCTCCTGCTGCTTGCCTTCCCAGGGACGGCGGCAGTGGTATGTTGCTTGTGCACCCTCCGCGAAGTCTTTAACTCATATGGAACCCGGCAGGCGTCTAATGCCTTTTCGGCCGACCTGTCCCTTTCCTTTTTGGGCGGCAACGGCACAAGGCGATGTCAACGTGGACATGACCATGATGCGCCGGGGGCCCACATGGGAGAGAACTGTCACTGTCGTTCACACACACAAAGGCGCCTTTGCAGCTTGTGCAAGAGTCACAAGACAATGTGTAGTTGTTTCAGGCGTAAGTGCTATAAGCCAGCCATTGCTATTTTTTGGCATCGAGCTGAAATAGGAATCATGTTTTTGGACGCCACGGGCGCGCTTGCGGCAGTTCAGATGGCCGATGGCTGTCGGTTTCATTTGATGTCCAACGCAAAGGCGGTGTCCCCAATCCCGGCACACAGCCACCCAGATGTCTAGCTTTATGAGGTCTTTGAAGGCCTTAGATGGATGTGGCTTCTGTGAAGCTGCGGTTGCTCGTGGTCCAGAGGAGTTTCTGGGTCTGAGTACATGTCAGCTGATAGTTGATACAATGCGTTTCCCTGCCCAAGCTGACTTAGTGGATGAGCACCTCCACGCGGCACAGGCGACCAGGCCTCCGCAGGTCACAAGCAAGTTATTGAAGAGATCTGTTGTAGGGGTCAAATGTCAGGCAGGGGTTTGTGCTCTGGGCAATCGTTGGCTGCCATGCTTGAAATTTATTGTGATGCCACACTACTGCCAAAGGGGAGGCTTCGAGAGATGACAAAGATAGTGTCCAACGCAGCTGGGGTGAGTGTCTGTCTCTGCCTGCCCTGTCTGTCTTTCTGTCGGTTGGTCGGTCGGTCGTTCGGTCTGCTTAGCATAAAGAGGCGATTGTTGCCCGAGGTCTGACACTTTTTGGTTTAACAATGAACCAACGCACCGCCAGAGCGCTGCTGAGCTTAGGGTGCTTGTTCTTGTGGTAAAGGTCGCTTGCTTGCCGCAGCTTTGCCTACTGCCTGTCGTGGCAACCTGCTCCGGCAGTCGCGTATTTCCTCAATGGCCCGGCTGGGCGCTGTTGTGTGCCGTTCATGCTCGTTTTCCCAATCGATCCCCCACAGATGACCGACGCAAACTACGCAAAATGCCCGTTGTTTTCGATGGCCGGGCCACTTCAGCGTATTTTGCCAAGGATTCAGCAACTTTGTCCCGCGGCTCTACAACTTCTGCAAGAGCTTGGGCATGACCAAAGGAGCCAGCAAGAGATGAGGATTTGACAGCTGCAACATGGGGAGTCTATTTCTTTGGCGGGGTCTTAGAGGGTCAAAATTGAAATGGCAAATACATCCTTTGGAATCTCAGGGAAGCAGTTGCCACAAACCACCAGCATGAGTTCATGTTTGGTTTAGGGTGGCTGTTGGCATCCTTGCAGGAAGTACATTCGCACGTGCTTGTGACTGGTGTTGAGCACAGGATTTTGAAACAGGGAAAGGACACTCATCCAAAATCAAGGCACACAATTAGAAGAATGCACATCAGGACGGATCATGCCCTCCATCGGTTTCTGCAGACAGCCTAGCTGAGTGGCTTGAGACAGAGAGAGAGAGAGAGAGGGCGCGCCTGGACTGCTGATTGGAAAGGCCAAGCTGACCTGCCTTGGCCCAATGAGTTCTTCTTGAGCCTAGTGTCCAAGGTAAACAATAACAAACCATCACGGATTAATCACAGTGTAGACAGTGTATTGGCGGATGTGGCACGAGCTTCGCTGACATCGCTTTGTTTTGTTTGAGTATTGGTCCCAATTTGCCAAAGATAATTTTCTCCCTCAAACCAGGAACAAACCAAAGGTGTTGAAGACTTGGTTGGTGGCCCACTCCAAGAGACAGGTCAAGGCAGCTGCAGTGGTTCATCCCAGCTTTCATCAGTGATTCTGCCTTTGTCATTCAGACCCAGCCCGCACTCACTGACCCTCATGAGCAAGTGCCTTTGTCACAATACGGGAGTGTCTAACAATGTTCGAGATGCTTCCACTGCTGTCTTTATTATCTTTTGAGAGTATCGGAAAGAGAGGTCGCTATTCCGGGAAGGGTGGCTCCCAAACGTGTTCACTTATCTGAGGTGCAGATGAGAACCAGGGATTCCCGGCGATCATCATCACCAAGCACTTCGGTGCCTCGGCACGTGGAGCCAGGGGAAAAAGCTTCAGGGAGAGAGCTCTACGTTTTGGGAGCCACCGGGGTAGACAATCGGGGGATGTTGAAATGAGATACCCAAAGGCCATCAGGAGGAAGGAGGAAGCCTACTATTGGAGCAGTCCCCAAATTTGACGACACTGTCATTTCGCAGGTAGACATCCATCTGATGGTCGATGACGCAGTATGGTACCCGGTGATGCTAGGGAGGTAGTCACATTTCCAATGACTTCTACGACTTCTACGACTTCTACCATTGCCAGTACATTTATCCTCAGTTGTTGAAGGAGATGTTGTTCAAGACTACTCAGGTTTTCAGGCTGCCTTGAACTTGAAGCCGAGATCTCCCCATGTTGGGATGATGGAAATCATTCAGAGGGAACTCAAACCGTTCAACCAGGACATTTGGCATGTTGACCGTGTAGCAGCATCTGAGGTGTGTACCCCTTCACCCACGGCTACCTAGGCCGCCGTGGTTCAAGCTTCGGCGTGAGTACCCTATAGGAAGCTCTAGACAAAGACCGAATCCGCTTCTGTTTGGATAATTGCCTTGTCCAGGTTTAATTCAAGAGAAGAAGCATCCCCTGTACCCACAATCTAATTGGGAGGATGGTCACCCGAATTCAATTGGCAGTACTTTCAGAAGCAGAGCATTGACTGCAGTTTACATGTTTGATGCCCAAATACGTGTTGGCCTTTTTGGACGACGACCACAGTCGCTTCTTCTGTGCAACTTAGCATTCAGCCACAGGAGAATGAAGGAGGTTGCCCAGCGCCTTGAGATGTTGGCTCTTGGGTGCTCAACAAGTTGCCTCCTTAAAAGCATTGGGGCTGGAGAAGCAGCAGTGAGGTTCATTGCGCCATTCTAACTCAAGCTGCTTCATGTTGAGGGCATAGTGTATCTTCTCCATACGAACGAGCTACAAACCTAGTGACAGGTTTCCTCGGGGCCCAGTTTGCCTGGCCAGGCTTTGTTAGTGCCTCAAAGGCCTGCTGCATTTCCTTGCCGTTTGCTACTCCATTCCAGCAGAGGTGTTCCGTCAGTGTTTTCACATATGACGAGTGCCGTTTTAAAAGCCGCCCATCAAGTGAAGGTCCTGAAATCTGACATGGCAAAGTGTGCGTATTGAGCCCAGCACCTCTTAGTGGACCCTCTGAGTCTAGGACGGCACTGAGTGACGCGTCCGAATTGTTCCCTCCAAATGCCAGGTCTACATTGGCCTTCTGTTGATTGAAAGTCGGGGTGTTCCAAGTTTGTCGCACCCAGATGTCGTGGCTTGCCAGACGCAGTTGGTCATTGACCTTGACGCACCGAAGGGGACGGAGGGGACACCCAAGCCACGGTGCTCCCCCTGGCTGTGCGACCGCGCCAGGTGGCGTCATGGCGCTGGACCGGCACGGGCCTCATGCGCACCACGGAGATGACGTGGGGGCTCCCAGGCGCTTGGGCCTGGCACCTTGCACGTTGGCAAACCCAGAGCCTCGGCCTCCGTCTCTTTGGGCCAAATCGGCCGAATTGGCAAATGCCCGCTCAGATGGTGATCATCCACGCCCCGCATGTGGGCTACGACCCAGTGTCGCAGAAGCCGGGGCTCCTACATCGCGCAGTTTTGTTCTGGTCACTCTTGGTAAGGCAACAGGACCTGAAAAGAAGGAATGTACGATTGTCTGCGCGCTGGACTGTTCAACACATTTGCAGGCATGCTTAATCTCAATGTCCGATCTCTTACCGGCTGTTTGGTAGAGCCTTTTGTTTGGCTGTTCTTTGTTGTAGCAGCCAACAATTCCATGGCTCGCGCATCCATCAACTTTTGTGTTTGTTGATGAGGGGACCCCAGGATGGTTGATCTCCCACAAAGGAGATGAATCGTCCTCTAAGATGAAAGCGGACACGCTCCCTTGCCCAAAAAGACACTTGGTCTGTAAAGGCGGTTTTATGGTGGGGCGCATCATGTGTGCTTGGTGATCGCTGCTCGCGGCCAAAACGCGTTTTTTTCCGTGGAATCCTCTGTGTTGACAGAGACCAATATGAGAGGATGTATGTCAATGTATGTTGTTGCTCTCATGTCAATCCCAGGTCGCTGCGATCTCTTCGGTGCTCCCATCCCAACGTAAATTGGGTGGCGACTAAACATGCTCACCCAGGATGAAGGTTTCAATTCTCCCCGGCATATGCTGAAAGGCTGAGATTCGCACATGCCCTTCCCCGTAACCCACTGCCAGAAGCTTAATCAGCCAACTGGCTTTCAGAAGCCGTGTCTCATCGGATTGCCCTGCTCTCCCTGCCTGGCATTTGCGTCTCGCGCCCAGGTATGGCATCTACCGGCGACGCCAGGTGGGCGACCAGAGCCACGCCATGTCCACTTGCTGCGGCTCGGACGGCACACGTAAGGCAAAGAGGGGGCGCCAGTCGGAGGCATGTGATCTGCCAAATTGATCTGGGTTCCTTCCCTTAGAGAGACTCCAGGGAGGGGGTTGGCACGGTTAAACATGTGCAACAAGGAACATACCCTAATGTGACAGTTTTTGAGTGGCATTCCTGGTGGCTTCCCTATCCACAGTTTTTGTTTTTGAAACGACTACTCAAGAAAGGGGCTTTGTGATGGCCGCTGGGCAAGCCAATGGCCGCTAGATGGGTCGTGGTGCCTGTGGTTGTTTTGCCCAGTTGGTCTATCGCTGCTCAGCATTTGGTTTTCCAGTGTTAGTCCATCTTTTGTTTTCATGCCTTGTAGCAATGTCGGCCAGTACCCTTAAATGTAGTGTACCCCGAAACCAGGGTCTAGCAACCTCGATTTTGACCAACTTGGCGAATCCCGAATCCCATTTGACAGTTCAATCCCATGCTGCTCAAAGCCTTTCATTGAGAGCGTCCATCGATTCCTGCGACCCCTAGGCGGTGCAGTAGCGGGCACCTTGGCACCTTACGCCTGGCACTGAGGGGCTGGCACGTGGGCAAATCCAGGACATTTTGGGAGCATCCCAGATCATCACCATCACCATCACTTTCCATCTCTCGATGGCCAATTCCTATTCCTCTCGCATATCATCACCCATCATCCTCTTCATCTTCATCATCTTCATGCATCATCATTTATCATCATTCAGCATCATAAACATCATCATCATCATCATCATCATCATCATCATCATCATCATCATCATCAGCATCATCATCATCATCATCATCATCATCATCATCGTCATCATCATCAGAAGATGAGGATGAGGATGACGAGGACGATGAGGATGATGAGGATGATGAGGAGGATGAGGATGAGGATGAGGATGATGCGGACGATGAGAACGATGATGATGATGATGATGATGATGATGATGATGATGATGATGATGATGATGATGATGATGAGGTCATTGTTGCCGTCGTCATCGTGATCGTTATTGTTGCAGATCGTACTTGCAAAGTTCTGGCATCAAGAACAGCATCGTTGTCCTGAGTGCCCAAGTGTTCACAGCATGCACGCGAACTTAGCGGACTTGTTTGCCTTGAGCTTACCTTTGTTGCTCTTGTTGTTCATTGTGTATTGCAACCTGCTACACCTGATTGCCTGAGACTCGCATGTGGCGTGATGGGTCGACACCCAAAGGAAGTCCACATGGCAAATATCGGAAGTTCACAGCGGGTTTGTCTCGAAATGGGAGCACCTCAAAATGGGCGGTTGCCCCTGGATTTCCCTTCACCACAGCCTTCAGACAAGGTTGTCCTTGAGAAGGACCCACCCCATGCGCCTCAGGATGAGAACTACAAGAAAGCCTTGGGAAGGATCAGCGTGCGCGAAGCCAAAGGCGTGCTGCGACACGTCGCTTCAGTCGAGGCTGCTGAGAATTGGTTAGTCACCAGGGAACGTATCAGCAAGTGTAGGGTCCCCTGGCCAGGTTTTGCTTACGGATAGTTTCTTTTTTTGGACAGACCTGGTGACTTGGCACGGAGGAACGGAGCCATAGTTGAAGTGGCTCGGAGCTGGGAGCCGCGTAAGGTTTTGAAGACTCTGGGCATGTCGCTTGTGAACAGGCAGAACGGGCTGGTGGCCCATCTGTTTAAAATCTCGGGCTGCCATGCTGTTTTGACATGTGTGTCATCAAGCGTCGCTCATAGGGTGTGAGGTGCATAGTTTTGAAGCAGGATCAGTGCACAAGAGGGCCTCGCCTTACTATCGTCTGGATGCTTGCTATTCTAAGAAGCATGTGGAAATCCTTCCCGATTTGTTGCAACTCCGGCATGTTTTCCACAGACGGCGTGGTGCTGCTGAACATCGGGAACTCGCTGCTTACGGAAGAGGAGGCAGGGAGTGCGGCTGGTCGGTGTGCTGTTGGGGAGAGAGACAGGGGGAAGAAGGGGCACTGTGGAGGAACGTCATCCTGCGTAACCTTGAGCTAAAGACCCTTAGAAGGGTTGGTTGTTTGGTCTGGTGCAGGTATTAGGTAGGTGTTTGATCCAAACAGTCAATGTATCACTCTGTCGTTTGTCTCCCGGGGGCCTATTGGGAAATGGCAAGAACGTCTGATCATTTTTGGTAGTACAGTCCTTCTTTTAATGCCAGCGCGGAGCGCATGTTGGCCTACAAGAGAGGCCAGACATGTTTGCAATGCTGGTCAAGTGGTTGACGATCATGCTTGAGTCTTCTCTCAGATTGAAGCTCGAAATAGTTTCCGGCCTAGAGACGCAACCCGCATCGCTCACGTTATCCGATGCCCCTGCGTTGCAGGATGACCTTGGCATCGCAGGGAGCTCGGAGCCGTGCCGAGCCGTGCCGCGTGGGCTGACATTTCAATGCCGGTCGCCTCAACTTGCAGCTTCGGCAAGCGGCGAGGCCCTGCAATTCGACCGCCTCCTGGAGCCG